ATATAAATAAATATATTAAAAGTTAATACTTTGTTTCAGTGGCGAAGTTAATTATTTGCATAAGGAAGTGAAAATACTGTTGGCTTCCACATTAAAAGCAAAAGCTTCATGAAGATATCTGCGAATTTTACTGTCAGCTTCTTGATTTCCAAATAGCTGCGGATTTTAATCCAGTCATATTGACCACTTTAGAGGGCCGTTGCAAGAGAGCTTATGTTATTAGTAGTAGAAGCTCGCTACCATTTTTAAAAATGTATTATAAATCTGACATCATATTGTAGGACTTTTTAAAAATGTGCAGATTTGACTAAGGAGTGCACTGGGATTTCACTGTCTACGTGGTTCTAAGCAGAAGTGCGTTGTGTTTGAGCCATATCAATAATTTTCCGAAAATTGTGCTTGCGGCAGCAACGCTTAAGAGGACTAGAAGCAACGAAAATGCTTAACAGCATCACCTTCTGAGTTCTTATAGATGCGTTCCTCGAATAATCGACCTTTTCCATGTCGCGTCATATAGGTGAAGTAACATCCAAGAATGATTGCACATACGCCGAATGATGCTGTTATCAAAATGAATATGCATTCGAGTATCTGAATCAGTACTGTCTTTGTTTTAGCTGTTTTTCATAAGAGTAGCATAACATCTTACTGTTAAAGGTCTAACTGAATGCGAGGTGGAATACGATGCCATTGTCTTAATGTAATTGATATAGTTTATAGAGTATAGTAGCTGATTGCCTATGAGGAAAACTGAAACATTCGTATTAAACTCTTGACTAAATATTCCTGCTTTTTTTAAAAAACTTTTACTGGGAGTGTCTGTTGAGATAGACAGTGCTTCGATAGTTGGTGAAAGTGATGTATAGGAATGTCTCTCTTAACTTCTTCGAGCTTTTTCCTTATTTGTATAGTTGTACTATGCCCGAACTACTGCAGACATTGATGAGAGAAGAGGTATTGTTCAGATGGCGCGATATCCAAGCTGAAACTCCTATGAGTACGCCCTTTGTACCGAGATTAAACCCTGGCAAACCTCTTATGCCGAGCTTGACATTGTTCCATTATACAACCACTCCTTTTTAGTTAACCATGCAGGCCTCTTTACAGGACATATTACGTAGCTGTTGCTGTTGTTCACGGTAAATCTGTGTTAAGATGATAGGTACCATCCTTTATGTATTGTCATATAGGTAGCTGTATCCTCTACGAGTGCTGACTTTCGAATGAAACTGGTTCTTCAGAAATGAGTTCACTTCCGACTCAACCAGCGGAGATATGCGTTGGTGCGATAAAGGATTTTGTCTTGATTAAGTGATTAGAGCGTGCTGTACTTGTGTTTGGCAAGTTTCGCAAGCTTCAGTTCTGTTTAAAACAATAGTTTATAATGTTGAGAATGATTACCACAAAGAGTAAACGCATGAGGACATCACTGTCTTCCAGATCGTTAGCGAATCAAGCGGTTCTTACAGCATTATGCGTTGTCTTTAGATCTCAGTTTGTGCAATCCACTTAACTACAATATTTTGAAAATAGCAGATATCACCTACTTACTCACTTAGATACTTGGATGGTCCAACTTCAGTGGTTGTGCAGGTCTCAGTATAATTTCCACTTTTTCAGACTTTTGTTGGTTTACGAATTGTGGTTTTCTGCACTCCCGAGGTTATTATACTTGCCACAGTCTGCCCCACCATCACAGGCGGTCGCCGCCCTTGTGGATCAGAGGGACATTTGCCACCGTGCGCCCAGTTTGATACTAGGGCGACGGTAGATGATACTGGTTTTCTCTTAGCTGAGCTTCCTGATGGAAACGCCGGACTCCCCAGCTTGGTTGGTCCTTGGGAGGCCCATGATATCCATAGTCAGAGCTAATAAGCTACACCCAGTGGCTTTGATTCGCTCGAGGAGCACGGATAGCGTAACATTTTTCTTAACGAAGCGGAATCTCTTTTTTTTTCATTTTTCTCAAAGGATCCTTGTCAGCAGCTCGCCTTCTCTTCCGTGCACTGTGTCATATTTGGTTCCAACGCTCATACAGAAAATTTGAAGCGGCTGTGGAGTGGTGGTGCAATGTACTAAAATTAAAAAGCGAATCGAATTCTTTTAAATATAATTTTGCGAAGTCAAGTATTCTTAGTTTTTTATGCTTGAATGCTGTTAAAATACATCTGAATTTTGGAACAAGGCCTGGGAAAATTTTTGTTTATTTGTTCCTTTGCCCTTCGATTTGCTATTCCATTAATTGTTTGGAAGTGTTCTACATGGCGCGCCAAGATATTGTTAATTTATCTGTTTAACCAGTTACCAAAATGACACTTGTTTTCATGCGATTCTGGCAAATATTATCTTCTAAAAAGTGTTTAGGAATGAGAAAGATGCACAAGCCTGCATCGTTGAACAAGTTTACCTTGATTTTGTTTTTCGTAATGCGACCGGTTAGTAGAAAGCCTCAACCATGAAATAAATAAAATTAAAAACGAAATATCCTTCAATATCGCTATCCCTTACTATCGCAATCTTTCTTGTTTTACCGTAACACACTTGTTCGCAGAAGTGTCATTTCAGAGTACTTCGACACTCCTTCCATAATTCGTAGCGATTTAGCGCCCTTGAGATTAGTACAAAAACTGGTTTATTGAGACACGCTTTAAAATGAATGGTGCTCAGATTTTCTTAGTACTTTTTCATGATGTTATGGTATAAGGTGGTTATGGCAATTTGCGCCACCTTACAATACTCCTTTTCATTCAGCCTAATAGTACGGTGGTGACGCTTGTATATATGTATATATATATATATATATATATACATTTATATATGGTCTGATTTAGATAGTCGAGTTATCACATTGGTTTTGAACTTCTAAATTCAATAAATTCAAAAGAACTCCATGTGTATTAGTTGGTTCAATAGAGGATACTCGTTGAGTCGGGCAGTGCAGCAAACAAACGTATTAGCTAGTTCATTCGAATATGGAATAGCCAATGCAGCAACTATGTTAGTTCGTCCAATACTGAATGCTGGCCTTCTTGAAAATTAGCCACGCTCGACCTTTCTGTGGTTGTCGCCGAGTGAAGGTCGGTGATTAAACCTTTGGATAGACAGGTACTGCAACAACAATAGGTTAACGAGGATAACAACGTTCAGGGAGTATGTCACAATTACAGACTAACTTTGTTGCACCAGTCCTGCCAGGCAGTGATTTCCACTTATAGGGAGATGCGTGAGAAAGATCAGAAAGGAGAAATGGTGTCACATTCTGAAGGCAGGTGTTGCGGAGAAAGTGTGACCATTTCTAGGGACTGTTTTAATGGTCGTGCACACTTGACATACATATAGATTAGAAGCACTTTCCAACCAGCTTTCAGGCGAGAACGTTAACCAGCTGTCATGAAGCATTCTGCAGCTAAGGTTAGGAAACCAACCTTCTAGCACAATATACAGATATACAGGAAAATATACGGCTTAAAGAGAGAATTACATACCATTCTGGTTTTCCATATGTGTGCTGGTAGGTTGAGCTGAGTGTAACCGATTCCATCCAGCCGGTCCATAGGACTGTTTCCATACATTCCTTCACATAAGTTACCAACATCGGGTTTGATTCCTATGAAATTCCATGTTGTTTGATGAGTGTTCTTGCTACCCTATCGAGAGAATCTGGTAACCAGTTCATTTGGAAATATTCGTTCGTTTTCTTGAGTATACTGAATGATTGACCACCGCCTTCAGTGTTTCTTACTCCCACAATTTTCCATTTAATTCTGGAGTGAGGTGATCACTTTGCTTTTGTTGGGTTGATGTCTGTATCGTTCCAGAAGTTGCTTTTGATACTTCTCAACAAGCTTAGTGAGATGGATTACTCTCGTGTTGAACAAATCAATAGTCCTTTTTGTCTTTCTTCAACTGTTTTCTGGATATCTTCTTTTGACAACGTGTTGCAATCGACGTGGTCTGCTGGTGCATAGTAGTTATCCAATGCTACGTGGAAGCTCGTCATGTAGGTCTTTACCTCGACTTCTGCTTGTGTTATATTTTTCATTGTACGGTGCTTAAGCGTTCCTTTCGATTAAATTTTCCGCTCCGGAGAGAAACTTAGTCTGGATTTTTACCAAACCTTCGTTGTCGTTTGAGTAGCCTAAGAGACGGTTAGTTATCCTTGTGAAAATAACGTTGCATGAGAAAAGCGTGGATTTCATTATTAAATGAAGGCAAATCTACTTCTTTGTAGGTTTTTCGCATTAATTTGACTGAACTGCAATTTGCTCCGTCGAGCGTCACCGGTTTCGTTAATAAGTTCGGCCGTTTAACGAATGGACTAAATCCGTTAGCTAGCTCATAGTGAGGTACAGAGTTCGTTCGGTATTGAATGCCGCCTTTTTTAGAGTTTGCCGCGTGGCTCTTTTTTGTGATTGTCGCCTAGTGAACCTCGAAGTTAGACAATTTTATATATGGGAGAACTATAACAACAAGATAACGATCGTAAAAATGTACAACGAGTACTTGACGATGAAAGAGTAGGAGATTGTTAATGCAATACAATATTACTCATCATAGAGAGAAGAGTGGAAAATATCGTAAAGAAGGAATGGGATCATCATCTACAGGCGACTTCTCGGTAGCTACTGAAGGCATGTCTAGTTAACGAGACGTGATCGTCCGTTCCAAGAAAGTGCTTCTACGGTTGTGCAGATTTTGACATGCAAAGAGTTTGCAAGCTTTTTCCAGCCGCTTGCGAAGCAAGAGCATGAGCCAGCTGTTATGACTCATACAGATAATGTTAGGAAATTACGTTCTATAACAATACAAAATAGCGTTGAAAACATACGACAGTAGTAAAGGATGGAGAACATTCTTTGCGAGGTAGTCTCCTTGCTCTAAAGCAGTTAGTGGGATTTGCTTACTAGTGAACTATGTTGGCAAGCTAAATTCGTTGTTTTATTTTTATGGAAACGGATATGCTTCGAACTGATTAACTTTTCGTGAAAGAACCGTTTCGTATGCCCGAAAATGGGGACCAAAAGAGATTGTATGCAGGTAGTATTGATTGAAGGAGATTTACGAATAATGAAAGATTCCCACACAAATTTCATTTCCATTTCGAGTCCACTTCATAATTTGTTTGGACTTCTTCCATTCCCTTTCAAACCAAATTATTCCAGGGATTCGTCATTTCCCAATCGTCGAACCGGAAGTGGTTCGTGTGGAGTTAGGCGATCCGTACTCTCGAAATTGTACACCACCTATTAGCAATCCGAATGCCCGGTTTGTATTTTTTGTAGAATATACGTGAATCTGTAATTTGTTGTGTTAAGGATGCAAACACAAATGAATTAAGCTTGCACTAACACAAAATATTGTGGCCTCTGACAAACTGCACTTTATAATTCACGATTTTATTTGTATCACCTTTAATTCCGTTAATTATCGAGTAACTGGCTTGGTTTCCATGCGTTCAAGAAAACTGAATAGTGTTGTTTTTTCGTATAAGAGCTTTCATTCCTACTGTTTTAGGCCAGAGCTGGTCAAACGCAGTTCGCTGTGCTCTGTCATGGGCAGGAGTGTACCCATAGTATACCCTCTCGGCACTTCCTAAAGTAGGCTTGGAAATTGTTCGCTGCAATCACCTCAGCTCCTCCTTCAATGTGTTTCGCAGTGTTTTTATCATAGGCTTCTGCTGAATCAATGTGCAGAGTGCAATGCGCATCACGCAATCACGGCCAGACAATTATACACCAATATTATTATATCTATATGGAGGTTTTAAAGCAGCGTCTTAGAGGAGGCACGTGGTCACTTTGGTTCGCTGTTAACACAAATGTCTCATGCCGACAAGCCATGCCACCTTACCGCATCGAGAGCTCTCATTTGGAGGTAGTCCGTGATCCATTTTATTACCAGTTTACAATTTAGAGTCTACTGGATCCTGAAAGGTGACGAAGGAACAGCTGTGACTTTCGAATCCATAAATAGCAGCCATATTTCCAGCAATGAACAGGCAAGTTCAAATTTTACAGATAGTGTTTCGCTTAAAAAGGTGTTTCCATATTAATTTCTGCCAACAAACTTAGACTGTGGAACTGTTTGCGGTTTACGTATTTGCTCTCTGTCCCTCTCTCTCTCTCTCTCTCTCTCTCTCTCTCTCTCTCTCTCGCTGTTTCTTTTGCTCTCCCTCCTCCTGCTTTATCTCCCGCTCTTCTCCCTTCTCTCTGTCTCTATTTCTCAATTTTAATTAATTTTGTTATGTGCTGGCATTGAAACCCAGTATAATCGGGATGTATAGAGACCAATGTATCATAGATGGCTTTGGTGACATATAGATGGCTTTTTTAGCTGGAAGCGCGGATTTTCACTTCCGTATTTAGCTTCTTTTTAGTTGTTTAGTTCATTTACTTTATTTTGTTCCATTATCCTTGGAAACATCTAGTACCATATTCTGTTTAATATGTTGTTATCCTTCTTAATGGTTGGTGGCTCATAAAATTATTCATTGAGAAAAAGTAACGTAGATTAGGACAACTAAACCGGTATATTTGAAAATGCCTGTGATTGTGAAAAGGTGTAAAAGTTTTGTAAACGTTCTTGGATATATGTCTCGTAACCATCAAACACTTCATAACGCTCGCATTATTGGGGAACGTAGTATTTGGAGAGGTCTGGTGCCATTCAATAAAGTATTGTCTTTTGAGTGAGAATCGAAACGATGTGATCAACAAAGATGGTTATGCTGCCGTGTGTTATGGTACTCTTCATGCAACAAAATCTAGCAGTTACATAATATTTGCAGGCATCCTCATGTTCTTTTACTGCGTGGCAACCTCTTCGACTGGGGTATTACCTACAAATTAGTTACTAGTGTAAGTAACACAATAGCAGTGGAAGATTAGTGTCTAGCAATCTTTTTCTTCTCGACGTAATTGTTTCAGTGTGTTGCTTATCGACGCGGCGCTCAATTTTCGTTGATTCCCGCCTTTTTTCCTATGGCTAAACTAGTTGATGAGTTTGGAAATTGACGAAATCGTTGTAGAAACTTTGCTTCATCTTTTCAGATGTTTTTTTAATCGTTTTATTTTATACGACCCGTCTTCACGTCTACTGTGCGGACCCCAGCACTTTTCGCATTCAGTTCGTTTCTTCGCATCAATTGTCCACGAAGATCTTCCAACTTTTGCGTGTGGCTTCGGTTGCTACTTGAGGATTTCCATTTCATCTTAAATGTCGTAAAATGCTGGTCGAGCAATTCTCCCTGGAGTCCTGAGATAGCCAGGCTGGAGCGTTCCCAATTGGATTTCAGAGAGTGATTTTTTTCCCAGATAAGGCCAGTACCACCTTCCCGACCCCGGAGGGATGAGAGTCTTGCTTGACCAGGAGCGGAATCGAGCTACCACCACGCTCGTGATGACGGACATCACTACCGCTGTGCTATCCGGCTCCTTTTCAAATATATATATGTATATAATTTTTTTCTAAAATGTTTTAATTCTAAATTTGTTTTAAACTCTCTTTTTGTTTTGAAATTTTCAAGAAATTGCGAGTGATTGCGCCCCCCGCCACTTTGTTTCACTGTTTTGAAATCGTCATTCATAGAGATGATCCGGTTCGAGTGTGTGTTCGGGTGCAGCTTGAGGCTGTATGAACTTCTCTCCTCAATGACATGCTGAGTGATGGTCGAGCGTGTTTTTCCCCCAGAAACCGGCGATGCTCCTGTTTATCGCCCGAGAAATATTTTTTGGGAAAGCAGAAATGTTCTTGTTCATTGCTTCAGTGGTTCGCAATTAAGCCACATTGGAAAATTGTTGTTTTAATTATTATTTGAACTATTATTCCAATAATGTCGATAAAGCCAGCCACAACAACGTAAGCGAAAATGAACAGCAGAAGTCGATAGTACTTCTGTGGGTTGTACTCTGTTAAAAGATCAACAATTTCTAGCATTATGGTGTCACATTATTCACATTATTCAACGTCACTCGCCTTTTACATGAAGTGGCCCAGTGAGTGTTTCGAATGGAGTGCAGTCGCACGCAGGGTCGACGGGTGTGTGGTTTGTTGTTACCCCGCACCATGCGACGCTTTGATGCGCTCTATTCATACACGTAGGGTTGAGTGCGTTATTTATAACACTTTATGCATTCACAAAAGCGCGACCGTTGGACGAGCGTGACTGACAAGACTGCTTCTATTGAAAATTCTGAACGGCATAATTAATAGACTGTTATTCCATGCAGTATCAACTAAAACGAAGCAACGGTTTGGATTCTGCGACCGGGTGTTCACGTTTGTTGTGCGGACCAAAGCTTCAGTTCACACCCCATTTTCTCGAAGTATTAGCAGTCAACAACGATCAATTCCAGAAGTCTAAGTAATATGTAGGCAATTAATCCAATCCGATTACGAAATATTTTCCATGTCACCTTTAATTGTGTCGTGAAGCGCATTCAAAAAGTCCTCCGCTATTGTTCAATTCTGTCATAACAAGGGATGGATACACTGCGTAACAAAGGCTTTGTTATACTTCGTTGCGAATCACTCACTATTAAAGGTGTGAATCTGTAGTGAATTTCAGTATACTGGACACGATCGATTTTTTAATAACGTATTTTGTCGTTACAGTAGGTGTAATAGGTGTGGCGTAAACAACTGAAGTCAACTTGATCATTTCGTTGGAGTGCGCGAGCGGCCCCGTGCATGAAAGACAAGGTCGAGTGGGGAACACTTGTCAAAATGATCACATAGACTGCGTTTTACGGCACCGGATTTGTATGAGAATATAAAAATCCAAATAGTAATTGCGTGGAAATGTCCTCTTTTCTAAGAGCATTTAGTGATTTCTACCTACCACACCATCCGGTTCATGTTCTGTCCGCCATTTTTCATGCTTTTATATATCACCTTACGCCTGAAGAGAAATTCTGGGACACATGGGAATGCTTGTACGTGCACCACAGGGGCCTGAACATGTCTCATGCGGGTCGGCGCTTCAGTGCATCGTCGGTGACGGACGGACCCGGTTGGCTGTCTGTGGCCGACCAGGCGGCTGACGGTTGATTGCTGTCAGGCAAGTGGTTGCGGCGGCAGTCAGGAGGGGCGGTGCTGGAGGTCGTCGTTGGCGGGCCGTGACGCTCTGCTGAGCTCTGCCCCGTCTCATAGGCAACTCGCCCATCCTCCCACTGCAGCCGCTGCTAGGCTTGGTGTTGCTTGCTGGTGGTTTGGGAATCAATGCCCGGGCTTTAGCCGTATTTACGTGCTCTATCGTTATTATTGTCCAACGTCAATACTGTCACGACTCATCTTTTATAATTTTCGACACAGAAACTTGAGCTGGCAAGTTCTGCTCAGTTATTTCCAGCTCTGTATTGCCACAGTATTCTTCTACCATAGGTGCTAAGTTTCGACTATGCTGCTTATATTCCAATCTTTCTTATTAATAGCTTTTTATTATTGGGTAAGTGTTATTCTTACTACGTTCTCCTTTTATAGGGCACTATTTTCTTTCATTTTGTGAAAGAATCCGATTTAAAGCCAAATCGCTTCTACACCTGCACTGCCGAGAACATTGAGCTGAAGGATTACAAATTTGGTAGCCAGTTCAGTCTTGAAGTTACGACAAACCGAAGGAGAAGCTGTGAGTCGTAGCTGTATCCTCTTCGAGTTCTTTCTTTTGTCGTACTTTTCCTCATGTTTCGTACAGTTTCTCTTTTTTATTGAAAAATAGCACCACAAGAAGTCCAATGGTAATCATGTCTTCATGCAACAGGTTGAAACCCGAAAACTTGCTTTTTTATCGATTCGCAACTGTTTTGCTTCCATTTCTATAACTGTGGTGTATTTGTGGGTAAGTGGAGATAGTTTTGTGGAGACCGTTCAAAATACGGCTGTAGAGGCTTAATTTCAACAACAATATTTCACTGCTAATCCTTTTCCGAGCAAAATACTCGTTCATATATGTGTTTTTTGTGCAGCGTCTTCTTTTTGTAGTCCATGGAATCTATTGGTCCATATGTACCAGTTGTTCCTCATTTGAAGGCGGAGTGATGGCGTGTGAGACAACACGTTAAGTGTAAACATTTTGTCACCTCATTTTGCTGCCTAACAGCCTACCATTTGAATTTAGAATGTTTGAGAACAACTCTCCGTGATACGGCTGTGAGGTTCAGTGGCATGACTTTCATTCCTACCCTGGTCATTCTAACTGAATGGGGCGTTATTAGATTAGAATTAAATATGAGTAATGTTGCGCTCTATTCAGGGTAATAAGTTCAACATAGGGCAGTTTATCCATTTCCGGGGCAATAGTGATATAGATCCGTTTTTCTCAGCAACCAACTGGATGTTTTCCGTTTGCAAAATTTTGCTTTTCTCTGTGTAGGGCGTACGATCCTATGACTGATAAGATTCGTTTGCCTCACAGATCAGCAGAGGTACTATTGTGGTTCATTATGCTTCGTGAGATGTCAGATTTCCTGTAGACCTTCCCACTTGCGGCCATTTATTCCCTCAATTTTGTTGCCACCGGCACGGTGCGTGTTGTTGCTAATTGGGATGCTGTCTGGATATGACGCGTTACATGTGGTTCATCCGAGCGGATAATGCAGTTCGTGCCTTTCCGTTTGAATCATTTATGGCGCTCGTTGGCTACTTCTCGTTCGCTCATGTAATCTTTCATAACAGCTTCGCACATAGTCACAGATGTAGATAGATTAAAATAATGTCGTTAGGGCGTGGTAGAAAATGAGCCGGGTGGAAGTTTAGCCTTATTGCTGAGTCCTAATCAACTTTTACAAACGAATTGTCGTCCCAATTTCCAGCCGTGAAGCTTTCTCTGCAAAGAGTGTATGTGGCGGTGGCGGTAATTTCATTGCGTTCCATTTCAGTATCACCTGTCATTGATTGAATTGGAATGAGAGATTTTGGAAAGAAAACAAAAAAAGACTGTGGATGATTTACTGAGTATGTAAAATTTCAGTAGGAAATGTTCCGCCAACTGAGCAATACGTCAATCAAAGCTCACCGATCGCCTTGCAGGGACAGCAGCATAAGTTACACTGCTTCTTTTCCGGCTAGTAAGTTGCTTTGATTGTTGTATTCGGTACTGCCTTCCATTTATGTCTGAACGAATGCTGAATTGAGCGTTAATGATTAGTCGTTTCATTTTACCTCAAGTGATGTCTTGTTTTCACAAAGATGTTTGTGTCCTTTGGTTCACTATACTTCTGCATGCATTTGGGTTTTTCTGAGAACATATTTGTCACGCCTGCTTACCACATTACACCAATTTCTATGACGCATTAGCGAATTCTGGCGCTTTGCCCAACATCAATCGTCCGGAGTGCTGATATCCCACATTGCTCGCTTGATTATCTATAAGACCTGGTTGCTCACTGAAGATAGTTCTGCATTTCTCTCGTGCTTCTATTTATGTTGTCTTGTTAACCAGGGACTTTAGAAATCATTTCCACTTTATCTTGCTATAAGCAGTCACTGACGTAGTGGTTTTTTTCCTAGTTCTTTAGAACAAAAAGGAATCTGCTCTTTCCACTTGTTTTTTTCTTCGAGTTTTTTTTTATCTCGAAATTTACTGATGAGTACAGTGGCCATTGTGCCCGCATATTTGGTGTTACTGGAGCTTTTTGACACACGAAAGAAATTGCATGTCCGAGATGCCTTAGGGGACATTGAAATGTCGTCGTCAGCAGTCAATAGCTGACACGCCTTAGGCTGACAGTGAGCAATGGAGGTTATTGACAGCTAGAACAATTCGGAATACGATGCGTAATCGTTGCGATCCTGTCCCATCTATTTCATCTACGTTTTTCATTGCTTCGCACGTGAGCAGGAACGGCTTGTAAGCTTAAATGGTTTATGGGGTGGGTTTGACCGTGGTCATTTTAGTAGAATGACATCTGTATGTGGAAATCCCCATTTTATTGTATGTTAAGCAGATCGATAGTGGATATGTGGTAAAATAAGGAGGTACAGTGGATTCAGTGGATCGTTCTTGACCGATGAGGTGAAAGTTGCAAATATTAATCATCAATGAATGTGTTGTATTTTGTACCAATCTCATTATAATATTACAGCGTATCCCACAAGGTTTCCTTTCGCGCATAGTGTAAACGTTATGTTCAAAATGGTGTGCACTAAGAATAAAGCGGGGACGACCATCAGTGAGTGGACAGGAATAAGTTCGCTTGTCACTGGAGTCAGTAGTGTATCTGGAAAGCGGGCGTTTTCCGATAACGAGTGTCATGGGAGGGGTTTCGCGGCTCCGGAAGTTTCGGCGAGCAGACTGGCAACGATCAATGCGATTACTCGTCGCGCCGACGTTCTCCGCGTTGTTTACGAATGCGACATCGATCTTTGTTTATTCACGCTTGGCGATACGGCAGGATGTCAATTCGCATGGTTCTAATTGTCTGCACTTTACTTCATCCCTGTTAAGATGTTAGTGTTGACGGAAACCCGTGGTCACCCCGGAAATCCAGCACTTCGGAATTGTGTGTGGATTCATAATAGGTTTGTGATTGGTAATTAGTGTAATTCCATTTTTCTCTCGCTAGCAAATTTTTTACACGACTCGTCTTTCACGTCTACTTTGCGAATCCCAGCATTTCTTGCGTTCGGTTCGTTTCCTCGTGTCCATCATCTGTGGAGGTCTTCGAGCGTTTCACGTGTCGGTTTGGCTACAGCTTGATGTTTGTCGGCTTTTTAACTAGTATCTTTGAATACTGATAGAATCGATTCTCTTTGGTGTCCTTGGATAGTTGGCCTAGATCGGCGTCACTTAGACCATAGGGTATGAGCTGTTCCCAAACAAGTGTGATACCAGTTTCCCAACCCCGAAAGAATGACGCTTGGTGAGCTCAATGCGAGATCGAGCCACGCCGTGTTCATGAAGATCAGCATCACTACCAGTGCTCCCTTGCTCTGTGCCGAAATCAAAATTGTACTTGTCAAATGTGTCGCGGAGTAAGCACATACAGTAGTGGAATGACAAACCTGGTGATGTTTCAAAATGTTCCAGTTCCTCACGACTTTTCACTTTTGCAATTGAGGGTGATTTGGAAGCTGGTCTTTCTCATAAGATCTCAGTATCCTAAACCAGTCTAAAATGATCAGCACTTGTGCACTAGCACCTTTTATCTATAGATCAGATCCTAGTCCATTAACTTCGAAATGGTTTATTTATTACACGTTTTCTTGTCGGCTGTTTATATTGCCGCGCCGGGCATCTTTACTGCACTTTTTGTAATTCGATAGCTTATTCAACACAGATGTCGTAGTGGGCGTCGACCGAAGAAAGCTTTCTTCTGTACGTGATAGTTGGAAATGAAGCTTTTTGTAGGATTTTTTCGGTCTGATTTGACTTCTTTGGCATTTACAAGCATGCATGCTGTACTTAAACACTAAGAATTAGGACACTTTATCGGTTTGACAAGGTAGTAACCCATTAGGGAAACTTGTAGAAACACATCGAGGAGGGTTAGGCGTACACAAAGTGCACAGTCATCCATTTATTTTCACGCTGTGTCTCTGCAACCATTTCATAGTGCCAATCCCTATCATCATTACTTTCACATTACTTTTTTGGATGTTGTAAACATTGTACAGTGGAACATTCACTTTCCACTACTCACGAGTTTTTACAATAAACTTTCTTTACGTGGTAACTATTCAAACGCAAACAAAAATATTTATATATTGGCTGCATTTAGTGCTCATCAGGTTACCGTATATTCTGACACATTTAGCACCATAGCGTCTTTACAGTTGCATATAACACCGAGCACAACGTTGCCGTTTCTTCGACTACTTTGACTGTGTGGCTACTTGAAGATAAAGACACTCGCATTCCATCTGAATTATCATGAAAATAATTGTACTTCATTTGAATTAGATATTTGGTGCTGTGCCTATCTCGTACGTCTGATGGATTAGTGGAATGTCACTCCCTCTCCAAAGAGCATGAGAGACTGGTCGATGCAGGCGTTTTTGCCATGTGTGCAAATTTTCGATTTTATAGTCTGTCGATTTCATCACCTCTTGCCTTATCCAATAAATGTGGCTGACTCAGCACCTTCCCAAACCTAATTCTTGGCAAAATATGAGAGCTAAAATAATGGAATGTATAAGCAACACTGCATCTCCTATCATATTTCTATCGCTGCAGGCTAACATGTCCCATCTTAGGGAGAGACTCTGAGCGAGTACTTTGGTTTGGATGAGTCACATAATAATCATCGCATGACCATCTGAAAACTAAATATCGTTCCCGCACCTGCCACACAAAACCGGGTGTCATCCAAATCTATTTTGGTACGATTGTTGCCACATTATAATTTTATGGCTCCCTATCTGCACCATGGTTGAAGGCTTTAATCGTGTTTACGTTAGCAATACAGCAAAGAGATGGTTAATATGCGTTTCCGTCTTATTTCATCATACCTTCATTTCTAGATCATCACAAAAAAACAATTGTACTTAACCTTGTTTATTGCAGTCCTGCTCCCAAGCCGACGTGGTATCACAATGGACGAGAAATCAGCGAAGAAACTGATGAAGGCTTTCGTTTTGAGTCGTACGGGAAAACTTTGGTTTGTTTGGAACCAGTTCCGGACTTCTTCATTCAAGTTCATGTGCATTGTAACGCGTCGAATCATTGCTTAGGTGTTCAACGTTACCCAGGATAAAGCTGGTAAGTACGACTGCCGATTTCCTGTGCACAATGACATCGACAGGACATTCAACGTCGTCGTTGAAGGTACGAGTTATTTCGAGGAGTCTATAGACTTCTGTTCATGTCAGTGTTTCCCTAAGGAAGAAACAAAGTTCAGTAGATGTTGCTCTTATGCTTGAAAGGTGATTGGGTGCAATTTCTTTGTAAGAAAACGTGAGACGTATGTGATTCTGGTGTTATTCACCACTGAAGTATGTTGTGCGAAATTTCGCGCTAAAAATATTCCTTTCCATGTCGGTGTGGTGGGAAGTACATTTTTGTATTTCACGGCTAATATTTATTGGAATTTCACCAATATGGCCGGATACCTCTATGGACAGTCGATAAATCAGTTCCTTGCTCGAGATCACAAAACAGTTTTTTGGTTAACCTGACAGTCGCGTAAAAATTCACACAACAAGTCATGATCACGTGAAACCGAGATGACTATACAAAGTGCTTGACGTGCTTCCATGTATTACGTGGCAATGATAACTTCTTACTTTACGTCCCAGAACTGAATCTAGCGGACATCTCATCGGCGTTTTTGTGACCATGAACGCACGTTGATGTCCATAAATAACCGTATGGAATGTATCTCACACGCATCCGTTTTCTGAAGGGCTGAAGAGTTCAAAATTTAAGTCGTACTTCTTCACAAAGTTTGGCAGTTGTCAGGCACATTTCCTGAGAATGAGCTTCCAGTGACGTCTGCTAGCTAACACATTTGTGACCGCAGGGATTGGTTTTTATGCGCAGAAATGACTCGCCTTTCTACTTTAGAAAGCCAAATCTCGACTCATAGTGAATATGAACAATTTTGGAAGACCAACAGAGTTTATAGTTGGCTGGAGTCTGTAATTTAAAGTCGTAGTCAACGACATAAAACGTTTTAATCTAATGCAATGACCTAGTGGTTCTAAGAGCTCAGAAACTTGCGTGTCTTTCTCCACTTTTCTTTTGGTATTGTTTTGTGAAATTGGACATATTCTTATGGAGCAATTTATTTTCCACACTATTCCCTCCTTAGTGTTGGATTGTCACTTCCAACTACTCTAAGAAAGGAGTTCGTTTCCTCTTCAAGTACATTGAAACCGGGAAGTATTGCCTATAGGTAGAGGCTAGTTCTCGTTGATATTGTACATTTCCTTCGTAGTTGTTTTTACACTGTTTCGTGAACGTGGGATTTCCGAGATTATTCTTCACTTTTCCTCTTTTTTCTACATCCGCTGACATTGTGGTGTCGTGATATTTTTTTAGAAACTATGAAGGATCCGAGTTTTTATCTTTTTTTATTTCTTTGGCTTTTTTTCTTCAAAAGTCCTGCTTTTGTTATTGTTGTGGTGATCACTGGGTGATAACGGTAACTAGAGGTAGAGGCTTTGTAATGTTTAGAAAACGGTGCACAATGTTTTCTTCTGTTTTGCGCTTATGATACAGCGCCTTATATTTATAAATAGCGTGGGAGAAAGAAAAAGTGGAACGTGTAAAATAAGAAGGTGAGGGATGTTGAGATGTTGTTCATGTCGGCCGAAGTGAGAATACGGCAAAGTGTTACCGTTTTCGCAGTGTAAATAAGGAGATAGTAATAATTATGCATTAGGGTCTTATCATAAAATGCCATTCGAATGGAAGTGAAGACATGTGGAACGGTGGTAGATTGTACGAAGTGTTTTCGTCAATCACGTTGAATAACAAAGGTAGCTTTTCCATTGTCTGTGGGTGTTTTTACCACTCCTTCATGTCTTGGTGATAAGACGTTTGGAGCTAAACGGCGTCGTTAAAGAGTTGTAGTACGTTTAAAATATTAAAGAATTATCGGCCACATGGTTCTAACGTTAATTGTGCTCGTTCAATAGAGTGAAATATTTGTTGAAATAAATCGATGACTTTCGATGGAAATGAAAATGGTTGCCTTTGGGAAATTACTCATATGTACGTATATATATATATATATATATATATATATATATATATATATAATATGTACACATAATATACATATGCATGTTATATATATACATGTATATATAACAAGCATGTACATATACATGTATATATATTCATGTATGTATGTATGTATTTATGTAGTGATTCCTCCCAACAGTTTACCGCCCTATCGTGGCTAGGAGGTGTTCCTGGGTGTCGGGCTGCGATGTACAACGGAGGGATTCATCCCTCTGGCAAGGTCTCTCAAGCTAAAAAAGAGTCCGACGTTTCCATCAGGAAGCTCTATTAAGAGTAGACCAATACCAGGGTTCGTCCCGTCATGGCACCAAACTAGTCACATGGTGACAAATCTCCCTCTGATCCACAAGGACAGCGACTGCCTGTGATGGTGACGGCTTGGGTCATATTTTGGCTCTGCTATGGGGATCGCACAATCAGTGGGGACGGGCCATCAATGTAAAGTAAGTAAAGTATGTAGTGATTGTACAGCTCAATATATGAATTTTAGTTATTATTTTTATACGACTGTCAGTTTGGCCACATTGCGCAAATATACGGTGCTTATTGCGTTCATCCGCGACGGGCAGCTAATCAAACTTGTAGTGCAAATTATTTGTTTTCAGGGTAAACATATGTCTTAAGCCAGTATTTTCCACACAGTTTACGCATTATCCTCTAAAACAAACCAAAGGAAAAAAAGCATGTTTTCATTATCGTAGGACTTAAATCTCATTAATTTACCAAACGGTTTGGTTTTTCGTCTCTGCTAGTTTTTTGTCAACTCTAGCTGCTCCATACTGGCCAGACGGACCGCCGCCGAACACAAACACTAGTGAGGGCGAAACAGTTACATTTGACTGTACAACGAGTGGAAAACCTGTTCCAAAGGTCACCTTCTACAAAAACGGTGTTGGTGAGTAGCTTATATCACATGGATTCATTTCGTTCTACTTTTATTTAAATTTCTCGCTTTCCAGAGCAAATGCTCCGTAGAGGAATCACGTGAAAAGTCATAGGTTTGAGAAATTTGAAGAAATCCTGCTTCTGTTAGTTTGGAAATTACTTGTAGATGCTCTAGGAAAATTCCCTTCTAGTAAAAAGTGATGAATTTTCTTATTTATATGTTCTTATAAACGGACTTGAGGTTAGTATAAGTTGTTGTTGTTGTTGGTCAATGGTTTACGTTTCGGCGATTTCGCCTTCCTCAGAGCCGTGGTGTTGCGAACGGTACTTGTATATTTATATGGTCAATTTTGCATGACATTCCTCTTCCATCCCCACATTTCTTCAATTAGTTTCGTCATCTTCCTACCGTCCACTATAGTTATAGTCGTGTTCATTTGTGCTACCCATCTGCGACCGCGATCTTTCACCTTTCTCCACTCACATGTTTCATGCTGGTTGAAGGTGATTTTCTAAGGCAGTGCTCAGCAGTCGTTTCCGATCGTCGTGTGTCGAAGGGAAGTCTGCTCGCTTGTTTCAAGGATACCGAAACAGCAGCAGGTGTTACTTGTGATTAGTCTATAGACTACCCGAGGGTCCCGATAAGTGTTCTGTTTCTGGCATTAGGCTATCACAGTTTTTATCCTAGGTCGATTTACGGTTTCCTCCTCGTTGTTCATTTGACCACGTGTGCTTTACAATTTATTTCTCATTTTCTTAACTTGTTGTTGCTTTGAAATAGAATTGTTGTTGAACGAATCATGCAAGGAAACAAGTTGAATGAAAAAAAATGCTAGAATTCGCACAATATGTGATATAGGAATGACGTAGGACTGTGTAAAAAAGCCACCATAAATCGCGCTTGTTAACAATAGTGATAGAACACAGAAGGTATATATCATTTCGCTAGTAACAGCAATACTTTAGCCGGCCAAAAGAATGCAAATGTTCTCGTAGCTTCGTTCATATCAGAATATAATCATTCGTTTATGTGATCTTATAAACTGATCTTCTTAAGCTGACGCGAGGTTGGTACAAATCTTCGTTGTCGTTGTCGTTGTTTTTGATGTTATTGATCGATGGCTGACGTTTCCCCGACTTCGCCTTCCTCAGAGCCTGGACGTATTTTATGTTAGAATACTTTTTATTATTCGGTGGAAAAGAAGGTTAAAGTGTTAATGAAGATCAAACTTTCAAATAGACGCTATATTGAACAGAAAGGCCACTCACCGTGATGTTACGTGCGGGACTGGCCCACAAGTAGTTCACGCGAGCAAGACACGCCCCGGGGGTCAAAATATCATTTTGAAATAGGGCGCCAGGTCACGCGTGATAGTGAGGCATTCGTCTTTCCGGTTCATCTTTGGATTTTTGAAATTTGACAACGACAACGACAACGAAGATCTGTACCAACCTCGCGTCAGCTTAAGAAGATCAGTTTATAAGATGACATAAATAAATATATCCACTATCTATGCCGAGGTTTATAGAAAGTCAGTTTTTCGAGTTATTAAGAATATAATCACTTTTTATCTCTGCAATAGTCCTTCGGTCCTGCATTCCTCACGGCATAATCGTCGAGGACAGAATTAAGCTAAAATATGTAAGCGCAGAGTTGTTTTCAAGGGCAGGGTAAAATTGTAGTTCACTGGAATTCGTGTATTACTACAGGTTTGAAATAAGTAGCCTAAGATAATAAAAGGATAAATGAAGGGTAAAGTTCTCGGCGTTGATCAATCCCTTACGGATGCGTCATGCATTCGACTTCATTAAGCATCGTTGGGTGTGAATGAATTCATATCTGGCCTATACAGTATCTCGCGGTAGCCTACCGATGTATCGCGCCAGTGCTGCTGTCGTCCTGGATAAGTCTGGTACCAATTTGCTGACCCTGGAAGAATGGAAGGCTTGATGAGCCACGGGTGCTGGATCGATCCCAATGTGTATCGCAGGACGCCTCCGACCACTGCGTCACACGCGCCCATTGTGCTTAGTACTACATACTAATATTCGTTTGGTTACATCAGGAAGATATTTGAGGAGATCGGAAAAGAAAAGAAAAATCCGAGTAGTGGGAAATCAGTTGGAAATGCAAATATTTTTGAGGAAATTAGTGCTGATTTTTGTTGAGAGTCTTTCTCATTGCGCTGTTAAGTTTTATCGAAGTGATGGAATTCACTTAGCACCTAAATTCATTCAGCGACGTTTCCATTTGATTTAATAGGACGTAGATCGCACGTCCTAGTTGAGGTTTCTTCTCGAAGGAAAATTGCTTAGTGGATTTGGTGGAAGCAGTTTTCCTAGGACTTTTTACGATTATGCGGGGATATTGGTTTTCTTTTTGGCAATAGTTTCCCGTCAGTTCTACATCTGGAACGGAGTATTCGAGGATTTGTTACTGTGTCAATAACGGATGCTCCCTTCGAATGCTCTGTCTCCTTGTCTTTCTGCTACTACAGCAGTGAAATCGTGCTCATTTGTTCCTTAACGAGAATATTTGGTGAAGTTTTATTTCCAAAATTCGTCGGTATTGTTGGAAATACAAGAGGCTTATATAATCAATGAGTTTGACTTAAAAGACTTATTTAATGAAGCAGCAATAAGGCAACTAGTATTTTATCATTTGGTCGAACACTTTGATTAGTAACTTTTGTGGGTCTGGCGGAGAGTAAAGCTTGTAGTTTTGATAGGCATTGCTGTGGAATGCGGCGACCTTCGTCTTCTATTCATCACTTCTTCGAAGCACTAAATTTAGGTCCATTTTGCGGCGACTTATGTGGTTGACTTAGGGGTTGACTTGTAAATAAATTTCGGAACTTTCACTTTTTTATTCTGAGAACAAAGTCGCTCCCAGTAGATGAGGGTGAAGAATCATAGAGGAAGCATTTCGCGATTAGTTCATTGATCGTGTGAGGTTTTTTTACACACGCTTTCCTGAATTATAATTTTTAGAATTGAGAGAGTATTCCTCATTAATTGTTTGGTCCTAGCATTATCGCTTCTATGAATTTTACGATCTTGAGGTTTGTTAAGAAGAAATTTTCAATAGTACCTGTATCTAACCGTTAATTTTTCTTGCTACTTTGTGTGTTTCTTGATTTCCAAATTGCCTTTAGAAATGAAAAAGCCGAACGATGGTGACAAATGGGTGATTGAGTCGAATCGATTAACAATTTATGATGTGAGAAAGGGCATTCACGGAAAAGGGGACAACGCGGTTTACCAATGTAAGGCCGAAAATAAGCACGGTTACGTCTGGACCAATTTCTACCTGAATCTTTTGGGTACGTATTCACTCCAAATTTTTACATCCTGTGCTTTTTTTCTTTTTGAAGTACATATTGGCCTACCTTATTCTCCTGTTGTTTTCTTGACCGTTAGCTTCAATGTTTTTTTAAATTCTATTTTCCTTGGAAAATTAGCTCTATCCCAAAACGCTGAACGAAGAGCCCCGATTCAGGGTAGCTGGACGAAGTGTGATCGGCAATAAAATTGAACTGTTTCAGCTTTCAAACCACAACTGCTTTCCGATTCCGGTGAAGTGGAGGCTGTGACGGGTCAGTCAGTGACGTTAGAATGCAAGTTCTTCGCCAGTCCAAACGCTGTTATAACCTGGTCGAGTCCGGTTCTTCAAGGAATTGCCCGTAATGTCATCCCAGCAAATCCGCATGGCGTTGGAAAGCTCGTCATCCCAAGTGCGCGCTTCTTCAAATTCTTACACATTTGAGACAAAGCTGGTTTTTTGACGGCTGTCAATAATTTCTTGATCGTTGGATTAGATGAGAAGTTCAGAACTTCACATACATATGGAGAAGACCTTGCTTTATCGTAATAAGGGTATATACATTTCTTATCAAATATTCTTCCAGTTTTAACGCTTGGAAATGAAACATTCAAAGAATGATGGACTTATAACATTTCCCACCCGAACGCTTCAGCTGTACCAGGGATGCCTAGGTGAATATCATCCGGTTCAACTGGAGGAAATTCGTTTTGTTCAGTAGCCTGGATAGTCAGGATACGTGCCTAGACCAAAAGAAAAGCTAAAAATCCTTTTTTTAGGCTCGAAGAAGTCAGAACTTCGTTTTTTAGAATAAAAGACTTTTTTCTTTCCAATTTTTTTCCTGGTTGGCATTGCTACTTCAGTTAGCATAGTTCACTCAGAGCTGAAATATGCTGGTTTAAACATGAACATAGGCATTATTCTCGCACCAACGCATTAAATAGTTTTTAAATTTAAATAACACAATCTTAACCCTTTTATTTACTGCCTTTTTCTTTTTAATGGCAGGGTATGTTGTGGAATATAACTTGTATATAATGCTGAGATATTTGCAAAACTCCTGACCGCAGGTGTATGCGGTGGGGAACGAACGCGGTATTGTCCTTTCCGGGAATCAATAGAACTAGCTGAAAGACAGGCAAAACGAAGGACCCGGATGGCGTGGTGTTGAAGTGCGCTACTCCCCGGTAAGGACAATAGCGAGCGTTCGTTCCCCACCGCAGACACCTGCGTTCCGGAGTTTTGCAAATATCTGAGCATTATTGTGGTTTAAATAACATATTTTCCAAACTGACCGTCGTTTAACCTCGGTAGCAATAATCGTTACCTTCTTGGATTGCTAAATTAACACGAGATTAGTAAAAATGTTTATTCGCCTAGTGGCTCGACTTCTTCATCTTCATCAAAGTCGATTGTCGAGTAGAATCTCAAATGAGGCAATCTCACCCGACAACGCTCAAAAGAGCGTAAGGACCATCTACTCGGTTCATCGGCTCTGGTGAAGGCGAAGATGTTAACCAAATAAACATCTTTGTCAACCTCGCATTGGCTTAACAACTGGAGAAGGTACTGAAGTAATAGAATAAGAAGAAAAAGCGATGAACTATGGAAGCCAGATATAGGTATGTAAATAAGAAGAGAAATTATTTACACTTTTAAAGCGATAGAGCTGTCGTTTTACAGGTCTATGAAGTCCTCAGGCTCTCAGGTATATTAGGTGTCGAAAAATTATCGGTGTTTATCAGAAATCAAGAGTGATAACCATGGTGACATGAGCAGAACCGCGACTTTTGTATTGTATTTGTAGCTCCCATTATTCTATACCATGAGAAAAAATTATGCAGTAAATAAAAGATGAAATATAATAACGAAAGTTCGAAAATTTGCAATGTAAGAAAGGAAAATCAACTTAATATAACTGTTGTTAGAACGAGAGCATTATTAGGAACATTTCACCAGACCTTAATATTGTTTCTGCAAAATTTGGTTTTGCTTCTGTTCTTTTTGTGGATTTCAATTAGATGGATAGTGGGTGTTCTTCATGTTATGGTAAATCAGGAAAATAAGCAATCTCCGTTACAGACGTAACGCCAGAAGCCGAAGGGGAATATGAGTGCACGGGAACGAACAAGTACGGCCAGGCTAAAGGAGCTGCCAAATTGCTTGTGCGAAGTTAGTTTCCTACATTTCTTTTCGTGTACAGTTTTTAAGCTTTGTTACATATATAACCTTTCGAATATGTGCAGCAATATCTCTCTTTTTGGAATAAAGTCTTTAATTAAAATGAGTTTTGTGAGAATTTAACAGGAAATACAAGGGAGATAGTGATGATTTTAGAGGCAACCCGACTGGAACCATTTCGTCGATCAGAGGAAGTAAAAGTAGCAGGTGAACCAATTCGTCTATCTTGTGAAGCAACCCCCGATGAACGGTTAGTTCCTTTTTCCTATTGTTGATCATTTACTATCTGCATATGACATTCCTTTCTATTATACACATTAGTAAGTATTTTGGAGTTGTTTACAAAGTTATGGCTCGCCAGATCATTCTTATTTTTCGCGACTTAGTTTTTTATTCGATTATCTAATCCGTGAAAATGCAATTATTTTCAGACTCGACGTCAAGTACGAATGGCTTGTAAACGGACTGCCTTTACTAGATGCGCACTTACAATCAGGGCACTATAAGGTAGGTTAAATTGATAGAGATCGTGTAAAAGATGAGAAATATTTGGGATAAAGAGATGAGTATACGCAAAGCCACTATAGTTATTATTACGGTATTTTGAATTCAGATAGAAAGCGATCACTCACTGCTTGTGAAAAATCCGACACAATATGACTCGGCGAAGTATAAGTGTATTGCTAGCACTAAGCTTGACAAGGTGGAAAAGGAGATTCATATCCAAATTAAAGGTACGTGGACCTTACTGTTTCGTTCTTATAATGTGATAGCCGCAATGAATAGGTGGCCTTTCTAGTGTTGCATTTCTTCGCAACCGCCTCTCGTATTTGAATTCACTAGTCAAATCAGCTTCCACTTTTACTTAACCGGATATCATACGGTAGCTCTTTTGAGGCTGCTAACATATACCGAAATGCTAATATTTTGATGACCTACTTTCTCTCTGTAAGCCTCTATCGTTCTTGTTATACACATAAATCGTGCTTTAAGTCTTCGCGGACCACCTGGTTTTTCGGCAAGGAAAGGGAATCTTTCCGATAAAATAAATCATCCCAAATAAAACGAGGTCATACCGGCCACTGTGTTCTCGTACCCTATGACTTCTACAGAAGTGCATCGTCGCGAATGTGTTAAATCGCTATCCCGAGCTTATTATATTTCATTTATTCAGTTATTATTGGCCATAGGGTCCGTCTTATGAGTAGTTCGTTAATGGCGTATTAAGTTCTAATATGACCATGCATGATTATAACATAAACCACGTGATGTTTGAGAAGCGACTTCATAGTTGGAGTCTCCCTTCCTTTCTAAGTAATCATTAAGGAAAAGTGGTGAGTAGTTTATAAGAACGGTGTTATACGCAGTTTCGCGAAAGAGATCATGTGTTCAATAGAAAGATATCATATAAGGGCTACATTTTCAATCACGCTGACACTCATTAGTAGATCACTTCTATTAGCTGTTGGCTTTTGCTAATCTGACATCCGAGTTGATGAGTTTCTTTGGTAGATGTGCCTGTACCAGTTCACGCTGCGTTCGTTAGCAAGTGTGATGCAGATTCACAGTCAGCAGAGATCAGCTTTGAACATATGGAACCTGCGGACACGGTTTCTCCAGTCAAGGAATTCTGGTGAGTGATAAGTTTTCGGACATATCATCTGCTGAACATCCTTCGATCTTTCTGAGCTTAATGCAGGTCCGTGTAGCTTTCCCAGTCTTTTCATTTTGTCTCGGTAGAGTATTTGAATGCTAAATTTCAAATAATGTGACGAACAAACGTAAGTGAGAATTAATGGACTTATTTTTTAGGGTTCAATACCAAATGGATAGCGAGACCGAAGGTACACAGTGGCGAACACATCCCGTACCAGTGCAAGCTCACCCGAACGATCGAATCGAAGGTGATCAACGAATGGTGAATGGGAAGGCTACCGTAGCTTTGCAACCTTTCGGACATGTCAGTTTATTTCTTAATATCTTTTACCTTAATTTCCACTTAATTGGTTCACAAGTAGTGAATGGTTTCCGACATTTCTTTTTTTGTAGGCAACAGTGGCCTGCCCTTATATGTACAAATTTTAGTATGTATTCCGTGTTTTGGCGAGAAATGGAGTTGGTGACAGTTCGCCTACCAGGGTTAGAGATGTATGCATAACACCTCCTAAGAAACCAGACCGAAACCCATCTGGAGTTTGGGCCAAAGGCGCTAGTCCAGAAAATATTGTCGTCCATTGGCGACCAATGACACGAGAAGAGTGGAACGGAAAGAACTTTCACTATAAAATCAGGTTGATTTGTTACGTTTTCGTTTTTTTATTGTTTACACTAATTAGTGGTTTTTTTTTCAGATTTTAACCCTTTTTAAATGCTATCTTTATTTTTACACGTATATCTTAATTTCCTCCCAACGGTTTACCGCCTCATCGTAACTGAGAGGAGTTCCTGGGTGTCGGACTGCGATGTACAGCGGGAGGGATTCGTCTCCCGGAAGGGTCTCCCAAGCTGGGAAGGGGTCCGGCGTTGCCATCATGATGTTTAGCTAAGAGTAAACCAATACTGGGATCCACCACCGTCCTGGTATCAAAGTCGCATGGTGGTAAGTCTCCTTCTGATTCACGAGGGCTGCGACTGCCTGTCGTGGTGACGACCTGGGGCAGATTTTGGCCAGGTTCTCCTCGGGATTCCAAGGAACCACAATGGCCTAACCAGCAAATTTCCGAAAAATGGTGATTATGCTGGAGGCCGCACAACCAGTGAGGACGGGCCATTCAAGTATCAAGTACGAAGTATCTGTCATTTTAAGTTGTAGAATGTGCTTTCATTGAAATGTTTTTTTAAAGAAAGGTTAACATCTTGGAATATACTATTTAAGCTGATGAAGTAAATTCCTGAAACATGATTTTTGGAAGTTTGTCTTTGTTGCGTTTCGCACTTAGGGATAAAACTGCGATAACACGTAGCGGTATCTTCCGGAAGAAATATCGCCGAACCATGGAGTCTGTCTTGCGCTCCTTTCATGTCGTAAAAACTTTCTCCTTCGTGGCCCCATTGTGACGTTTTGAAAAATGGGTTTTTTTTCTGACAACCGTGACGTTCTGAGCATTTGTTGGATAAAGATGTCATGCCAAAACGCCTTCGGAAGCCAAATTTTCACTGCAGAATTATGGCTTATGCTTGGTATGCGCTAATTAGGGTTACTGTTTTTTCATTACTTTTTCACCTCCGATGACGCTGCTGGAGGAGACAAGTACTGCCTTAAGTAAAGAAAAAGTTCCGAAAATTGCAGTGCTCGCAACCGATTGATTGCTCTAAAGAGACTAGTTTTTCCGAGAACTTGCCACCCAAAAGCTGCAGTAGTTGCATAATGAACCTCTTGCTTATGGGTTGTTTATTTTTCAAGAAGCTTAATATGCCTTCCAGGGAATCTCTTAACAAGCCAGTCATGTTGGAATTACCTTCTGGAAATTCGTAGCTTAAATGGCAGCGATTTTAAGTTTGTTGGAATAGATGAATTTTCACTTCGTTGTGATATGTAGGTTCTAATCATTTCCATTTTGGAAAATGAACTCCAAAACAAGCCTGTAGCTGCACACTTAAAATGCTTAGACTGATAATAACTTACTACCGTTTTATAGGATGCTCTAACTAAAAAAGACGTGGTAAAGTCGTAACAATACTAATAAATTAAGTGGTTTTTTCTAGATATTGATCGTAGAATGATGCTGAGATATTTGTAAAACTCCGGACCGCAGATGTCTGCGGTGGGGATCGAACACGCTATTATCCTTTCTGGCAGCTAACGCGTTGACCACCACACCATACGGGTCCTTAGTTTCGCATATCCCTTCCTCGCCTAGTTTTCTAGCTATCAGTGCCATCAGCAATCACTTGTCAAGAAGATTGATAATACCCTACCGTGAAAAATTGTAGTAGGCAACAAATAAAAAGTTAACATTGATCACAGGTTTTATCGTTTGGGATATTTGTGCCGTTATGAATGTTGCCTTTCGTTGCACCAGATTCCACTTCTCATTTGCCTATTTTTTTGTGCATTTGAAATTACGCTCTTTTGGTCTTAAGTATTTGAACACATGTTAACCTTTACGAACTGATTTCAACTAGTATATGGCCAGAAATAGTATTTCTTTTTGAATTTAATTAAGCATATCTATCAATGCTCATAGTGAAGTTTACTGGTTGAAGTGAGAATCAGCAGAACGTACAGATCTTTGCTAATGGTGGTAAGAAAGAGAATAAGGTAGTTTTTTTTGGTCTCGGGCGGGCCAGAAATTCATTCCATTGTAATATAATGTGTATCTTCTAAGCAACTCCAAAAATACGTCCTTTGTTATGATTGTACGGTTGTTAGAATTATGTAAGCGCTGGTGATTTTCTAGGTATCGTCCTTCTGAGCGTGCAGATAGCGAATGGAAAGAAGTCCAAGTCAACGATCCGTTCGCTGATCGCTATACCATTACGCTCGATGAAGATAAAGACGTTAAACCATTTCAACCATATGAAGTTCAGGTATCTCTAGATATTCTATCTGTGAACTTCTATGAAATATCTACATCTCTATGAAATACAGCGAGCTAAATATTTTGTCGATATATATTTAAAGTTCTTATGGACTGATCTTGTTGAGCTGATGCCAGGCTGGTATATTTGTCGTTGTTGTTGTTGTCTTTGTTGTTGTTGTTGGTCGATAGCCGGCGTTGTGGCGGTTTCGCCTTCCTCAGAGCCGTGCTATTACGAGGACTATCCATCTATTGTCTATGTATCTCCTTTTATATGTTGTGCTGGAACGAGTCCCACTCGTAATAGCAGGGCTCTGAGGATGGTGAAATCGCCGAGACGTCACCCATCGACCAACAATAACAATAACGACAACTCTGCCAACCTGGCATCAACTCAACAAAACTACTTCATGGGAACATGTAAATAAATACACCGATTTTTTTATGCCGAGGTTCACAGGAAGTCGGTCTTTTGAGTTATATTTAAAGTGTTTGTCAACACTTTTGCATAAATGCTCGTTGTTCTGATAGCAGCCGATAGTTTTTCGACAGCTAAAGTATTTCAGAATTTGGTAAAACGACTTTTGCTTATCACTGTAAGACTGTACATAGTTTTAAAAAAATGCTTTGATTCTGAGTTGTGAAAAACTAATGATATGGGGAATACGCTGCTCGAGATACGAACTTCCAAAAAAGTTGAAAAATAGGCTTTAGAAATTCACCACTTTATGGTGGTAAGCTAGGAAAGCTTGCACCTTTTAAGTGAATATCTGTAGATTCCCGCTTTTTCTTTACTTGGTAAAGTTCCTTATGAATTCAGGAATTTTATCTAAGCTTAGAAGACTTGGTAGTTTTAGGTAAAGTACGATTTTAAATAAATCACCTATTAACAGTACCGGGTCTTCTCTTTTTTTTCCTTTTGCTTTTTTCAATGTTGAATTGTTGATTTTTTTGGCTGTGTAGGTGCAAGCGGTGAATGATGAAGGACAAGCAAACGTAGAACCGGAGACCATCAAAGGCTATTCTGGAGAAGGAGTACCAAGCGGTATTCCTACAGGTTTCCGTGTTGTGAGCAAGGTGAAAGTTGGAATTTTGAAGACTTACTATTGTACTAGTTAGTGGCTTTCTTTGACCATTTAGAGTATTGGAATTTCCGAATTTTAGGACGGCACCACTGCAACATTTGCATGGAATCCAGTTGATCCACGCACGGCAAATGGAAACTTCACAGGCTATAGGGTCTGTAAAATATTCCGCATTAGTTAATGTAAAAAATAAGAAGATATTTTTCGAAGCTTTATTGCTTCTTTTACTTTAGTTTATTTGCTCTCAATTTCGTTTGATGTTTGATGGAGTGGTACTTGTTAGTTACTGCGAGTCTTTATTAAATTAACCAATTATATTTATTACTCTATCTGCTTTGTTTTGTGAGGGTTATCGTGAGGTACTTATTACATTGGCCTTGTCATTCAGTTTTTTTCCTTTATTTTTTCTTGGGAGATGGGGGAGGAAGGGAGGGGGTGAGAGGGGGGGGGGGGGTTTTGATTGNGGGGGGGGGGGGGGGGGGGGGGGGGGGGGGGGGGGGGGGGATTTGATTGAGAGCCAATGTGAGATGTACACTATGAAATCAGTGAGTGTAAAGCCGCGGCGAGGGCAGATCTGTAAGCTTTTAGTGGTGTCATATAACCATGCGCATACCTCCCGGTAACTATTCCGAAGCCCGAGAATTAACTGAAGTCGAAAGGCGACCAGTTCGATATGAGCAGCCTTCACTTGAACAGTCGTTTGTCTTTATGTTACTATGATATCAAGTAGTCGATGAAGCCGCTGCTCTTTTTGTGTGGAAAAGATAAGCCTTTAAGAGATTAAGTAGTCTAACTCCTGAATGAATCAACTTCTCTTTGTTTGTTTTCATGTGAGGTTAAATGAAAGGGTATTGTGAGGATCTCGGCCGATAAACACATCTTTTGCCAGCTTTATGTACACCCGGTGTACTAGTTTTCAACAATTCAGCAACTTGTTGAAGAATTCGTAGTGCATTATGTTAATGGTTATCAATGTCAGATTACTTATTGGTATGATGAAACCGATGATGACGAAGATGCGAACGATTTTGAAGAGAGATTTCGATTTAAGCGATTTCGCAGGGTTTGTTTTGCCATTGTTGATCTATTTTTGATATAAATAATGAGGTTGGCGTTTTTTAACAGATGCTGAAAAAACGAAGCATAGAGAGCAAAAGACGTACGATCGTTTTCGGACCAACAGCGACATCTGGAACTATTACAGATCTTCAGCCGGACACCGATAATTATGCGACTATCCAGGTTCGTTTTTTCTTTTGTAGTAGCAGTATTAAAAAATTTTACCGCAAACTGTTATGTGGGTTTAATCCAAGTACATTTATATTGGAATATCTAGATGATGAATGGTGCTCATGATGGAGAACCAAGCATGGTCATCCAATTCCGAACCGATGAGGGTGGTAAGTGTCGTATCTGTTATGAAATTACAGCGTTTAGAATCCAAGATGTGTGAAATCCGAAGTCTAAAACGCTTCTCATTTACATCACTTTTCGTTATGTCCTTAGGAAGATTTAATTCTTACAGTCCCATCTCCTGTTCGTGGCCTTCGTGCACACCCGATGAATCCGCGGAGTGCTGAAGAAAAAGCAGTTGTGCATTTGATTTGGAGGAAACCGCGAAGGCCAAACGGAAAGCTTCTGCACTATGTAGTACGTCTTCTGCAATGTTCTAGAAATTTTTTCATTTTATATCTCGAACAAGGTTCACGTGTTATCTTTGCACCAATTTGAGAGTGTATAAAATTAGGGTAATTTGGCTTCGATTTTCTCATAACTTAGAAAAGGCTAGAGAGCTTAATTATGAATGCTGAGCAAGGATTTTATATCCACAAATAATCTTGTTCAATTACTATTAACTCGATCATGTTCAGGTCATGCACTGTAGAACTGAAAATGGGAAAGTGATTGAAAAAGATTGTCCGAAGCAATTTGTCAACGCTGATCGTACACAGGTGAGGAATTTGTTTTGTGTATTGGCATTTCTTACACTAAGTATTTAAAGGGTTAAACGTTTTGCGTTGATAGATATCTGAAGGATGCACCCACGCATCCGATTCCATTGTATACCGGAGAAGTTGTTAAATACAATTTTCGTCTCTACAGTGACCTGCGGAGGTGGGGCTACCGATGTCAGTGAAGTCAGTGTTTTCTTTTGCTCTTCAAGGCAAATCTGCTTTCTGCTCTCTACGGGTTAGAAGGAATACTTAAACTGGGAGTGCAGGATTGAACCAATGACCACGTGTGTATTGCACGGCACCTCTAACCACTGCGACAATATGCGACCTATTTATAACATACATTTAGATTTGGCGCGTCAATGTTACACATAGTTCTGTTTTCACATATGGAAGAAGAATAGGTCCACATGGTCGCCGATAATCTTTAGTACATTGAAAAGAAAATATTACTCGAAGATGTCGTGTGAACTAACATATACTTGCTCTGCTTGAATTCTTACATCTTTCGTAATCAGAAGAAAAAAGCATTGCGAATGTCTTTTTTCCGGATAAGCATGTAAATGATTGTTGTAAATGTTTAGATTCGCTTATCCGGTTTGGAATTCGAAACACCCTATCGATTCATCGTTCGAGCTCAGACTAGCGCTGGAGAGGGTGATCCAAATAGCAGCGATGTGACTACCTTGCCAGAGGTGGTCGCTTCTGGAAGTGAGTATTGTAGGAAGTTTTCAAATATTTTTAGTTGAATCGGAGAACGTCTTAATTTGTTTCTCCATTGCAAGCCTTGTCAGTGAGCATAAATGTACTGAGTACATTGGAAAAAATGTTATACATAGCGTTTCTCACTCACCGCTTCTAGTTAGGTTATGAGACGTTCAAACATGTCGTAATATCTTACGACACTTCCCTATATGGAACTATGGCAACTTTAAAGCTGGTTCTAGGTCTGCTATGAATTTGTTGCATGTTTCATTAGACAAAATTTTTGTTTATTCTTTTTCTGTTACTATTGTCTTTGTCAAAATCATCAAGCACATTTCGAACTTTTTAAATCACTTTTCATATATATTTCGAAAACTTATGTCGGTATTGTGGACCATGAAATACATTTGTTATGCAAGGAAGTACCAATGTGTATTCTACGCTTTGTTCTTGGTTATTTAAAGTTTTATAGCATTCAAACTTGGCTATATATTCAGAAGGAACTTCGTAGGAAGATAACACGTCTTTCCCAAGACAAACTTTCTATTAACCTCGGCATCGATCGATAATCAGTTTTTTTTCTCGATAAGCAAACACGAGATTGGTATTACAGAGTCTTGCTTGGTAAGATTATAAAAGTGTTTGGCTGAGTAGATTGCATGTCAATTCGGCTTTTCCAGGCTCTGAAGAAAGCGAAACCGCCGAAACGTCAGCTATTGTGTGCTAGTAAATTCTATAATACTAACTTCGTCTTTGCTTATAGAGGAAAAACAGTGAAGTAACACGTCTATTTATAGGAGATTAATTGGAATTAAGTCATAAGGACTAAGATGTTCATGTGATCTGTCATGAGTGTGTCGAGAAGTGCAAGTAGTATGTTTGGTAGAAATACATCATTCATTTTCAAGTTGTCTTTACCTAAATGGGAAGTTTTTAATTTAAGGTTAAGCAGGCTTGTGTTATTCCTTATTTATCTACCTACTTTGGGGAAGTTTTGTTAATAAGCAATTGACGTACTTTCTTTTCGATTTTATTCGTTTGCTGCAAATGGTAGGAATCGAGCGCGGCTTTTTTATTATGGGTAAGGAGAGGTTCATTTGAATTTGGTAGACAGCGCTTTACACTATTACATAGCAATAACGGACAGTTGAGTATTAAGAGTAGAGCAATTCCTCCCTTATCTTTTCATGCGCTATTACATTTATAAGATACTTGGACACCGTATACTTCCCTTCTTATCTCGTTATACAAGACCAGTTCTTTTGCGCTTGAATTTCTCTTGAGAAATAATTATAACTCAATTTCTAATGGAAGCGTCTGCATCTGTTGTTGCCTAGTTTTTACATAGCATCTGCGATAGTGTTCGGTGTTGTTGGAACAGATCGGATGGTTGTCTTAGTAACCATTCCTATGCTGTGAGATCCATTCTGCTGATCGAATACCTATGCCGCGAAACTGAGCGACACAGTGGTGCACTAGCACGATTACGGTATGCGAACATGGTGCGATGGTAATCTCGTCAGAACTCCACATTACCTAGCGATGACTGTTGTGGATGCAAGGACACTGTCTGAGTCCGTTGTTTATGACTGGAAACCAAGGTCAAGTGTATACGTACCTATATAAATATATATTTATTGATGTATATATATATATATATATGGCTATATATTTTTACGTATATCCATGCTTATCTATTTAGCCATATGTGTGTGTATTGTCTTGGGAGTATTGCTATAGTGGGTGATTTTGAGTATTTTAAGTTTAACGGCTTTAAACAGTTTATATCAAGGTAATATGAAGGTCTTTGGCAAACTCAAGTAAAGTGCAGTGTGCCATCACTAATAGAGCTAGATCCACCGTTGCCGTAGAGTGCGATTAAACAACAAGACATTTAATAAATCGTTGCAGTATAATAACGAGTCGGTTCGAAAGGAAATGATTTCAAAGTGACGGTCTTCCTGGATTAGTAGGAGTGGCACTACTTTAGCATGACGTTAGACAGTCATTAATGGATTTTCGGATCCTGAGTTCCTGCTGCGTTAGTGCTGCAGTCCCGTAGTTTTGTTGGCAGATAGATCACGGTCGCTCCGTGCTCGAGAGGCGGGCTCTAGAGGGCTCAGCTGTACGTGTCCGACGCGCCCAACAGGCCATTGCATGCTTTTCCGCGTTTTCCGTTTCCATCAGTCTCGCGGACGCTTTGCCGGAATTCCCACCGTCGCCACCTCACACGTCTTCGCGCTATCGACACATCTGTGCGACTGTTGTTCTTATGTTTCCGTCGCATCATATCCTCACACTCTTTGTGGCAATTTCTGTCAGCGGAAGTAAGCTTATTTACTTTATACCTTCTTAAAAATTTACTACTGTAATGATACGAACTAAAAGCGATGGAGAGTATACAAATCACCAGGTTCGTCAAGAACTTCTCATTTGCGAAAATGCGAAATGTGTGTGTATTTTTGACATTGTGCTGTTATGAGGAGAAATTTCTGTTTTCCTTTATCGATTTATAGAGATTTTCTCAGCAATATCGGTATTACTGATGGGTCAAAGTGCACTTTTCCATATTAGGAGCACATCGTTTATAAGGTTTACGAGAGCGTTGTGAACCTGTTGACTAGATGGTGTTCCAAGCATCTTTGTGTTTTTGACACTCGTCCTTTTCAAGTTCTGCATAACTTCAAGTTTTGTAATCTTCGAAATCTTGTCTTTTCACATTTTGCTCCACTCATTCGTATATGGTTTCTTACGTACTTCATTTTTGGTTCTTCGGTAAAATAGAGTAAGATAAAGCGTTTGGCGTGAATCATTAGTGAGAGATGCGCCATGCACTTGATTTCGGCAAGCATGGTAGAGGTGGTTGAATGCATCCTTCCAGACAAATCTAGCATCACTCCGCCGATTCGAGAGCGATGAAAGGTTTGGTCGGCCTGGGGCACGACATTGAACCAGTGATGTATACAGTATACAGTTGCAGGTCACTTCTAACCATTGCGCTTCACGGGGGTTTTCGGATAACTCGTGGTAGTACAACCACAATGATGCTGAAATCTTTGCAAAACTTCGTACCGCAGGTGTCTGCGGTGGGAACGAACACGCTATTATTCTTTCCGGGGGCTAACGCGTACACCATCGTACTATGCGGGTCTTTGTTTCGCCTATCTCTAAGCTAGTTCTATTGATCAGTGCCTTCAGCAATCACCTGTCAACGGAATTTATCCGGGGAGTCGAAATCGGCATTTAACCTAGTTAATCTGAGGCTGCAGTTGAAATCACAATTTTAACTTTCTATTTACTGTCTACCATAATTTTTCACAGCAGGGTATGATGCGAAATACAACCAAAATGATGCTGCGATATTTGCAAAACTCCGGACCACCGGTGTTTTGCCGTAGGGAACGAATGCGCTATTACCCTATCCGGAGGCCAACGCGTTCACCACAACACCGTGCGTGTCCTTGATCCCATCGCAGACACCTGCGGTCCGAAGTTTTGCAAATGTCTCAGCATCGTTATGGTTGTATTTCGCATTACACCCTACCGTGAAAAATTATGGTATGCAGCAAATAAAAAGTTATTCTTGGTACTTTTCCAATAAGTGGAGGTCTTGTGGCGTACTTATAGGGGGGCTTGGTCAGATGTTCTATCGGATACACATTATTTCATAAAATGTTCCTCTGATTTTGAATCTGCTTCAAAACAAAATACTAAAAAAAATCATATTGAGATTTAAGTTTGTAAAATGTTTGACGTTAGTACAGCGACAACGAACGCTCGCGATGAATGTGGGAACGTCTTATCTATCAATCGTTATGTCCCTCTCGATAAAATCCCTTTGTTTGATCGGTTTGCTGTTCGAAATACGAACTTCAGTAAGAAAAAAGTTTGAAATGCATTCTGAAGGTTCTGAAAAAAAAACGTTTTATTTCTGTAGAGTAAGAAAACTTGTGTTTTATTGGCAAAGATCTAGCTAGCGAATTTAAAGCTCTAACTGTATGCTCAACAACTTAAACACACATTGAAACTAGCTCTTCAATTTAAATTAAGAGAGTTCGTTACGAGTGCGTCTGTTTAAACTGAAAGACACACTTTAAACTTCTTATCATTCTACCAATCATTACCGTGTCTGTCTTCTCGTGCTGATAATTGGAAATTTTAGTATGGATCATCTATGGACGAGTAAAATAACTCTGTATAAAATGAGAGTTTGAGAGGAAGCACCTATGAAAGGCCTTTTTCATCTCCTTTCTTTTTCTTTTTTCTCCTTGTAGATTCCAAAGTGTCCCTGTTTGGCAAAGAATAAGCGGTTATTTCTATGCTGCTAACGATACTCTTTAGCAATTCATGAATTATTTTGTGCTTGCTGGCCTGGACTTGTGAATTGAATCAGAGATCGTATTAGGTTATGGTGACTCCTCAGTGATGCCATGCTAGTATGGTGTGTGGAGCCATACCTCCCATTCAGTGTCCGTTACGTAATTTGCATGTGGACGGAAGGCAGTGATCGATTAGGAGTGGTTTATGACGACTAGCTCGCTAGCAAGAGCTTGATGAGCGCCGTTCAGTCTATGCATTGCTGAGCGGCTTAGCACGTGCTCATTTACTCAGGATAGATTGCTAGTCGCTGAGTTTTCAATTAAGTATTCTGTCGACGAAGCTCATTGTAGCACACACCTTTTCAATGCAGTGCAGCTGATAGATTTCCAGTTGGAAGTGGCTGCCAAGCCGTAGCTCCCGATGGCAACTATTGAATTACTTCGAGAACTATGTAAGAAAAGAATTCGTGTGGTTCAGACACTAGAGTCAGAGTAGATCTTTAGGACAGTACCATTTAATCGATTCGATCGGAAGTGAATCGTACAGGAATGGTCTTAAGCGAAAAATGTTACGTCGTAATCGTGTTACCTAGATGTGTTCGTAAGAGTGTTGAATTGGATATACACTATGTTATGCTTTTTCAGTAGATCCGAGTACGCCATCGTTTATCGAGAACGAAATCGGCGATGACTATATCAATATCACCTTCACTCCTTCTAAATTTGATGAGGAGGTGGGAATTAGTGGTCTTGTGACATTTACTGGCCTTCCTGTTGCCGAAGTTTTCGTCATTTTGTTTTATTATGATTGTCTTGAAACCTTCTCGTTTCAGGAACGTCGCCCTATTGGCAATACGTTCTTTGTACAGTATCGTGAAGTAGATACGGATGAGTGGAAACAGGTACAACAAGAAGGTCGGAAACATTCGTATTTCCCTTGTAGTACCAAAGTGCCTTGTTTGCCTGCCTAGGTAAATTTTTGAATATTTTTCGAGTTTTTTCCTTTAAGGAGATGACCTAACAGTACACGTTGGTGATTTGACTCCTGGAACAAGATACGAAGTCAGAGTTGCCGCTCTTCAAAAAGACCCGAGCGGGGAGGAGCGTGAAGCATATTCGCCGTCGGGTTTTATAACAACCACAGGTCGATGTAAGTGCACATCTCGTGTTTTGTTTTGTGATTTGCTTTTATGCTACGTGAGTTTTCCTGCGTTTGCTATACCAGATATGGAGCAGGAAATAGGCAAAAAAAGTTGTTCTTTTTTGAAAAAAAAAAGAAAAAATTTGAAAAAAAAATGTTCTAGGTGCCTACGGAAAGTCTTCATAAGCCTCTCTTGTTCGTAGTAATAGTTTCTTTAACCCAGTTCAATTTCCGGATAGTTCCTTTTATTTTCAAGATTCCAATGCTGGGAATTCAAAAACGTAGTTTTACTTATGTAATATAAAAAGCAATGGAGACTAATGGAGTAACAGGGGACCGTTTTTTAAAACTGTCTGATTTTGTACAATTTCTTCCGCGTTTATTTTTGTATTGCCCATCCTGGAAGTGAAATTGAGTGGCATATCTATCAGTGAACCTTTTTCTTTACTCTATTTGTTGCTTTTGTAGTCTTTTCCTAATAACCATTTTTGCTGTTCAGCGCCGAGAGCAGCTCGTTTATGGTGGTTACTGCTAATTCTATTAATTCTATTGTTGTTGCTGTGTATTCTGTGCATGGTCTGTGTGGCTTTGCGACATCGTGGTCAGAACTACCCTGTTTCACAGAAGGAGCGTGAGCAAGGACGTGAACCAATTCTGCCAAGACAACACTTTGGTGAATACAAAAAGTAAGTTGACTATACTCTCTTCGGTTTTTAAATACATTTACTTTATTACCACATCAAGTTGGTTATTCAATTGAAAACGACTTATTAAATACAAAGGTTACCGCGTTAACAAAAATTTTGTTTTGCGATATAAAAAAAGTTTTACAATGCAAAATTAATAAAGGAATTTCAGTGGCATTCTCACCACATAGTTTTCATTGTTTACTTTACTTTTTTCAGTCGTCATATGAGAAAAACTTGTTTTTTTAATTGTTGAAATGGTATTCTCGGAAGGAAACTACCGTACGGTTCTCATGTGGTGTATTCTATTCATTCTTAGCGCACTCAGATTTATAAAGAGTTAAAGTTTCTACATTAGTTTAATCCGGTGGTTATTTTTCTGTATTATCGGAGGCTCAAAATTTCACAATTTCACAACACAATAGATTGGTATTGCGTTTATCAACACATTGTGAATGATTTACTCTTTTCAGTGATGATGAAAAGCGGTCACTTACTGGCAGTAAAGCCGAATCGGAGACGGATAGCATGGCCGAGTACGGTGACACGGATCCGGGCCGATTTACAGAAGATGGCAGTTTTATCGGTTTGTTCCATTCATTGCTTCTTCTTTCTAGAAACTGTTATTAGAGACTTTATAACACATTACAGAGTTCTATAACACCTAATGCCGGTTTTTGATGATCAAATTAATTGTATATGCTGAGATATTTGCAAAACTCCGGACCGCAGGTGTCTGCGGTGGGGAACGAACACGCGCTGTTGTCTTTATCGGGGCGCACTTCGCCACCACACCATCCGGGTCCTTCGTTTTGCCTGTCTCTCAGCTAGTTCTGTCGATCTTTTTTCCATCAGCAATCACAAATTAATTGTGTTTAGAACTTTATAGTCTTTTAGAAGAGAGTTTGCCTTTTCACTTTTTGTAGGTAAATGATTGTTCTGAAATGTTCCTTCGATTTTAAATTTGTTTAAAGTTGAAATTAATTGAAAACTGAAGGTGATTTCCAAATTTAACGCTAGCGCGATGCTCGCTAACATTAGATGCAGTTCGAAATACCACCATGCCCTATTGTACAAAATCCAGACTGTTCAGTCGCTGTAATGCTCGGAATTCTCTTTGTATTAAAAAAAAATGCCAAAATACGTTTTATGGACGGTAGAAAATCAAAACTCCACCGTTATAGAATACGAGAACATGCGTCTTGTTCGCATAAATCTGTACATTCTAAGGGTTTTTATTGCAGCTGATGAAGTTCACTACGAGCAGAGGTAGTTTCTTTAAAGGTTAAACGGGCAGTACCTAATGCATATCGTCCTTTATGAGTTAACGAAAAAACTTGTACGCTTTGCGAGATGACAGTTGTTGAGTTTCATCGTCAACGCATAAGAATTCTATAAACTTCACAAGAGAACTGGAACACTGTCCATTAAATAACGGGGAGCCCAAGCGTTTGGTAATCGTTTGACGGCATGAACTTTTCAAAAGTAAGGAAAATCATCAAACATAAGTCTACCGTTTTTAGCAATTAGTCTACTAATTCTTGTATTGTCGGTTTTGATAAGAAGAATCTGAAATGTTCTAGTTTTATGAAAGATATTTACCATGTATCGCATTGCTAGTTTCCACGTATAATGGCTTACGATCCTGCTATATATTGTTTTGTGATAACGGCTCCTACAGATTCACTGTTTCATTCAGGACAATACGTTCCGGCGAAGACGTTGATGGTTCCGGAGAGACCAGAAAAAGGTAGCACGTCTACGTTCGTGTAAACTCAACATCGGCTGTGACTCGACTCCAAGTGACCGCTGACGTTCCCGGTGACGGGGTACACACCCCTTATAATGCCGTTCCTTGTGTATCTCCACAAATATCCCATCACATTCCTCTGTTTGCCAATTGTGCTTGCTGTGTACGCTCTAGCGCCGTATGTGTCTGTTCATTGCAATGTGCTCGGGTTGAAGGAGTTTTAATTTTGTCACTATGATCGACTTCGTTTGTGGTGGTGACGCAGTGTCGTCCTTAATTTGTGTGTTCATATTCTGATCGAATACATGAATTTCGAGAAGGAAACTACGATAGATGTCTATTATATTTATATAATGTACTGCCGTAGAAACAGTTCCTTTAGCAAATTTATCGTTACGAATATGCTTTTTGTGTGATCTCCATCAACGAACGATCAGCTGACCAGCTGGCTTATAACTCCTGTCATAGTTGTTCTTATCCTATTCTTTGGTATATTCAGTTATATAATTCTGTTATATTTTGATTAAAGAACACGGATGCTACTGATCAGGTCAGCGTTTCCTCTTATCGACAAACCTTTTCGGTTTCGGTTAATCTCTGTATCTCGCTAAGACCGTGTTTTGAATAACCCTTTTATATGAGCCGATTTTAAAGTTGTTACTTGCTACCTTTGTTTTATACGACTATAATTTTGGCGCGTATAAAGAGAGGTGGCGTTTAATCGTAGCAGAAGATAGTGTGCTACTGAGATGTTGAAGTTTGGCTTCTCACAGTCGCTATCGTTTAGTTTTCGCCCAATCCTTCACCTGTCACTGCTTTTTCGTATGCTTCAGTTTACGTCACCTCTTCGTTTTTTCTCTCTAACCACCAACAATGGACCTACAGTACTTGCTGTGTTGTTGGTAGATACATCGTTTAGGTCCTGCTAGTTTAGTCCTATACGGGACTAGTCGTCTTTCTGCGCGCGTAAATCCTCTTCCGTTTATCTCTGCCACCCTTGTTTCCCCTGTTCACAACTGTTGACCACTTTTTGCTAAACATGGAAACAATGGCCCAACTTTGTCCTGAGCTTCCCTATTATTGCATTAATGTTTCCATTATATTGTTGCATAAAATGGCATAATGAAGATAATTTCTTGTTATTGTATTTGCATTTGAAGAAAGCCAGTGGTCACGTAGAGAGCAGACATTGTCTCAGCCGTTTGTGGATTAGTGTTGATGAATTTGAGTGGTACAATGAATTGTGTAGAAACGTGAACCAAGTTACTACGAAGAGATTTTGGAAGGTGGATTAATTCAGGTAAATTCAAGAGCTGTGATGAAGAGCCTCGGAACTACTTTGGTGCTAAAGTTCGAACCAATTTGCTAGCCATCTGCTGTTTTGCATTTTTATGGTTCAGCAGAGCTCGTTTGGAAAGCACATTTGGTAAACATGAAACATAGGAAAACGTGAAATGGAATGTTTCAAAACAGATGGGCACCCCATGTGGAGTGGTTCGACGTTAAATGTTTGAAAATTTGTTGGTGTTATGGTATTTTGTATGCTTTAGTACATTCAAAACAGAGCTGGTCATTCAAAAGTTGTAGTACATGAAGATCTTGAAACGACAGCCTCACGGAGAAGGCGTTCTTCTGCCATTATATTAAGGTATAGAATTTCCCGAAGACTGTTGCTGAATTCTTAGATTCGCCTTAAATTCAGCTGCATAAAAATCGAGAACTAAATTTAATTTTTTAAAGAGTATAGTGTAGGTGAAACCGGCTCAAATATCGGTGATATATTGGGTGACCCCAATATATCCTGCTTTGAAGGGTCTGATTCTCAGCAAATTCACTGCTCAAGATATGAGCTTCGGCGTATGAGAAGTGGAGCGACATCTTTCATGTTCTTTAAAAATCAGAACCTTATCGTTTTGAGATAGGAAGAGTTTTATCTTTTCTTAAAAATGGTTTATAGATCGTCTTGACGGTTGTATTTTATTTCATAGTGTTCACTATCAGCATAAATATCTTCGTTCAGTGTGGAAAGGCGGAATAATTCTTGAGCGTATGTGCGTTGAAAGTGTTCGGAGTTGTGTATGCCATCGTCTACCACTTGAGTATTTTTTCTTTACCACGAACGTCATTAAGTGCTGGTAAACTTAATATTGTCTAGAATCCCGACATAGTTTTGTTACAGCTGCTCCAGGTCTTCTTTATGGATTGGAGAGCTCTTGCCGGCGGAGTCAAACTGGGCGCTATTTTTGTATCACAGGGAATCTCTAACGACTGCATTGCATGCACCCCATTCTGTCTTTCAAGTTTGCATGTAAATCTTTGCAACAAAAATATTCTAAATGGGTTATTCACATCCAATATTTTAGAGATTATTTCTCAACAGTTTGCTCTACAATTTTTCCTGAAACGTAATTTACGACTTTAAACCGCTTTAGATTACACTATTGAAATATGGTGATTGTATCGTTTACGAGCTCACAACTGGACATAAACGGAGCGCACCATGAAATCTCATCAAGGCAGTAGGTCATGGAATGGCCTCTGAACAAGTTCTGCACAAATGACTTGTAAGATTTCGTGCTGAACATATAAGTCTACATCAGAAAGAAAAAATGCTTGTATGCATCGAAGGCAAATAATTGAAGCCGGCCCTCTAAAGAAGAATTTAAGGGCTGTAGAAAACTCGTTGTTAACATCATTCCTTCATCACCCGAAAAACATTTGAGAGGAGGAGAAGCTAGCTAAATGGTTGCCGCATGAATTGAATGAAGAGTTCGAGATTGGCATTATGAAGTCTGTCCTTCGATTTTTTTATCCCTTAAAAATAGCCAATCTCTGAATGTCACTGTAAGTTAAGATTGGATATTATACGAAAAGCTACGACATCCAGTTCAATGGTTCGATAGAGGTAGATTTGCTACACATTTTCAAAAGCATAATCTATAGTGTATCAGTGGGTGTTTGTGACGATTTCTTTCCATATATTTGTTTATGTTTTCTTGCGAGCTGCCCTTCATAAGCTGGTGCGAAGTAGCATGATGGTGCTAATGTGGTCCCACTCGCAACAGCACGGCTCTGAGGAAGGTGAAATCGCCGAAACGTCAGCCATTGAACAACGAAAACCAAAACAAAGAAACTTTTGCCAACCTCTCATCAGCTCAACAAGGGCAGTTCTTAAGAACACATAAGTAAATATATCGATCATTTATGCCAAGATTTATATGAGGTCGGTCTTTTGAAATATTAAGAGGTTTCCTTCCATTTTTCGCCGAGAGTATTATATAATAAACGGTGTCGGCGTAACGAACATACTAGGGTGGTAATGTTACAAAAATGTAAAATCGTAGGATAACCTCTTTGCGTATATCAATGCATGCCTGAAAGAAAACTTCTAATCTCCATGGTCAGTTGTGCTGGATCACACGCTGCACAGCTACTACTGAAAAGCTGAGTTAGTTGGGCTACGAAACATTGCCTCATCAACCATGTTAATGGAATCTACCTTTAACGTGTAGCGCAGTTGTCGGAGGTGCTGTGCAATACAGATGGGATCGATCCCATGCCTCGGGCTCACCAAGCTCTCGATCTCTCCAGAGCCGGCAGATAGGTGCCAGACTAGTCTAGGAGGATAGAAACACTGCCTCGATAGATCGGTGGGCTACCGGTCATTGTAAAGGCCAGTTATGCATCCAGTCGCCTCCGAACGATGCACAGTGAAGCCGAATGCATGGCGCATCTCTAAGGGATTGATCAACGACCACAGCTTTATTCGTTATCCCTTTAACAAGCAATAATTTTATCAAACATCTCGACAATTGCTTATTAATTTAGAAAACCTCTTGCCAACAAACCGGTATGAAAAATGCCTCCAAAGTTTTCGTTGAATCCAGCATTGCAGTATTTTAAAGAAGCGAAAAGGACGCATTGAATCCTTTTCGAAACTATGCTTGCTAACATAACCACTCTTTGTTCAGTGTTTGTCACTTTGAGTTTTGAGTGTCACTCGACTATAGAGTTTATAGGCGATAAAGATAGGAAGGTTGTGCGATAGCTGCCGATTTCATGGGAGTCTCCCTTATTGCGCCACAACACGGTCTTCTTGGTCTCCTGCTTATTAGAAGCCTTGCATTCTGGCAAGTGCTGTGTGAAGATCCGAATCAGTGTGGCGATAAGAATTAATGGAAAGTTCTTCACATGTTTTGATGTAATTGTCACCAGAATGGGTGTTGTACAGCTATTAAATTTACTAGCGCGATAACATATCGGACTCCGAAGTAAAAAAAAGCGCTTAAACAACATCACTCCTACTTGGTTTCAACTGGAGAAAAGAGGATGTTACTGCTGAACAAATCAGAATAAAAACGTGGACATTTTTTCCAAACCCTTTCCTGGACCAAGTAATTGACTGTTTTGTCTGGACTGCTCACAGTCTTGTAACTGGTGAGGCTCCGCAGACGATGCGGATGCTCTTCACAACCTCTAGAGGTTCAGCTGTTAGTGCCGCTTTTCTACTGAAATCCTTTATTACCACTTTTCGGCGGAGTATTGCGAGTTCATAGAATTGTTGGTGATTACCTATGGCTTCAACAATTTCAGTTTGGCACAGTCTTTTTGGAAACAGACGTCTCTTGGTGATTTTTGAAACCGCGGGTTTCTTTAGAACTAACATGAAGATGTTGAATAATGTGGTGGTATTCTTCACCGTTGATGTCCATGAAGGTATCTTCTCTCGAAACAGTACATGGTTCAATTTCGTTTAAAATTCTGACGCAAAAGCGAAATTTGTGAAGAGAAATCGTTGATTGACTATTATGAATTATACCTCGTAATAGTATTCCACTGGGAGATTCTCGCATGCAACATTGGAAGGATTATTGTATTGTGAGTTACCAAGAACAATTTTGTTCAACCCTACCTGAATTTCTTCAGCCGTTCTCGGAGGCCCTTGATGAAGCTGAAGCTTCATCCTGCTGCAACACGTTTGACACCGGTGGTAAGGAGTGCCAATTGCAAAGGAGCTTTGGACGAGGATTTATGTCAGTACCGGGGAAGAAACTACTAGAAGCAACAAAAAAGAACGCCTGAAAAAGTGACTCCGGGAATATGCGAGATTATAATGTTCCGCTTTCAGTCTTGATGAACGACGATTAGGTCACTAGAACTTGCTGCCATGATATGGAATTAATAACGAAGAAGTTTTACACCGTTTTCCGTTGCACAATCCTCAGAGCCTCCAAAATTCCCGTTGGAGAAAACCTTTCGGGATTGTCCCTTCTGAAATTTCAACTGCGAAAGAAAGCAGACACAACTCCGGGAGCCGATGATATCATTGTTGACTTAGAGTTGAAGGCCGCAATTTACATGTATTTCTCCCAAACCATATGACAACCTACCTTCAAAAGGAAAAAATCCCAGACCAGCGAATGTTGAGCGCGGTCATCCTGCCCAGAAAAGGTGACCGAAGGGACCTTCGTAACTATCGTCCAATATGCTTGTTGAGTGTACTCTATAAGCTCTTCACGAAAATTACCCTCTCGCGCATATCAGAGACATTGGTTGAGGATCAAAGACATTGGTTAAGGCTGAACCAGTGGAGAAGGCAGGATTTCGACAAAGATTTTGCTGCATGGATCACATCTAAACTGTTTCCAGACTCCCTAAAGTTTGTTGGGAATACCACCTAGCCATAGTCATAGCTTTCGTCAACTATGAAAAAACGTTTGAAGTGAGGGGTTCATGAAGATGAAGGTGACACCATATGGCCAAATCTGTTAAGGAAGGCGGAATTAGGCAGAAGAAGAACAACAGTATGGTCAGCATTCGGACCACTCAAAGAAGTAACCGACCAACTGCCCAAAGCTTCGCTTTCACCTTTTCGATTCTACAGTCCTCCTAGAGCTCTGTTTTGCAGCAAAAACGTGGCGGTTGGTCTCTACGTGACATACTTAGTGGAAACCTCATAGGAAGCGGCTCTGAGGAAGGCGAAATCCGCCGAAACGTCAGCTTAATCGTGAACAAAGAATAATAACACCTCGCGTTTGCTCAACAAAAATACGAAGCAAAAACGTGGGTTGATGCTTCAACCACGTCAAAATACTGTGCGCTACTCACAGAACGCCTCAGCGATCTCTTATGAAATGTAATCGGCACACACAGCATCTGTCCTGAATGCGAAAATCTGATCCTTAAAGTCTATCTCGTCTCACCCAGAATTACACATATCGATCAGAAAACGTAGATGGGGTGGTCATATAACAAGAACAAAGACGGATGGACGAGTAGAACTGCAGAGCAGACCGCATGAGGATGCAGACATCCGCAACGGCGCCGTTTACACGTTATGCGACATATTTGTAACCAAAGTCAAAGAGCTGTACTCGTAGCTGCAATTGTTTTACAGATCACGGTATGAGACTAGCATCTGCAGCCATGCACGAATCAAACCACCATCATGAATCCTACAAAACGTGTAGAACTCCTAACTCTTGCATCCTCATGATCATCTGCAACGAAATAAACGTTTCAATTTCCACGATCGACATCCTATAAACATTTTAATCTTTGTTTTACATGACTGGACTTAACCGATTCTGCGCGGTTGCCGACTCTCTCAATCCATTTGTTTCTTCCATCCGCCATCCACAAAGATCTTCGGATTTTTACCTGTAGATCCCACCGCTGCTTGAAGATATTTATTCTTCTTCATGAATGTCGTTGAACGCTAGTCGAATTGATTCTTTTTTGAATCGTACAAACCCCATTCTATAGCGGAGAGAGCCCTCTAACCAAATAGGGTACCGACTGCCCGACAGCGAAGGGATTTGGTTTCGTTTGATGTCTTCCTAAACCTTAGTAGTCAAATTGGAATCTTATGTATTAGAGTCTATAACTAACTAGCCCATTTCGCTATGTAAATTAGTGCTCGAGCAATACCTTAATTCTACGAGGGATGAAATCCTCAGAATCGGAAGTCAAACAAGAAAATTAATGGATTCATCATCAACGCTACCACCGCTACCAGTATGTAAATGCTGAGGCCGCATTTGAATACGAGTACACAAAGCGCTTTCAGGTAAGACTGCGCTCATAGCTCAGGCCATACTGAACACCATTTTTTGTATTTTGTACACTTCAGAAAAGTGTTTCGCTGGATTGCCGTCCTTTTCAGAATATTTCCCCAACAAGTACCTACGTAAACCAAAACATTTTCAGCTGTTCTCTCTATCTTGTAAAACTTTAAAAGATAAAATCTTCTTATGCTTATCTGAATGTACAGTGATATAACAACAAGATAACAAAACATGGTTATATTGTGAAAGAAGTTCCTCTTTGGAAAAAACCAGCGGTAAGTCGTGTGTTCTGGTTATGTGAAAGGAAATAAGGCGAAAAATAGCAAATCACGAGTGATATATTATGTCATAGGCCCATATGAACAATAATGCAACTTCAAAACGACGCAAATATACATTAAAATCAAAGACGTAAGTGGTTACGTCGCTGTATAATCATTGCCTATTCGAAAGTAACAGATTCATCATAAAGGAGAACGTACATAGACGAAGAAGAAGAGTTGACAGTAAAGCCAAGGGGAAGCGGCGTCTGCGGCACAAGATCAGTTTGTCAACGAGCATCCTCGTCAACACGGACGGCTTAACGTCATCATCAACGTCAATCATGAGTGTCACACACGTCGACTGCACACTAAGAACAAATTTTCCGCCGATTCACATGTTCTCTAGGAGCAGCTTGGCAAGGATTCGCCTGGCAGCAGCAACTTTTCAGCAACGTAGAATGAACGACCCCTTCGAGTTTGTCCATGCGTGATTCCACGGAACAACATTTGTCGTGTGCGGCCACTGCACGCAATATGCTTTATGTAACCGCATGGCGCTTTGAAAGCATACTGTGTTAAGGACGCAAATCATTGGTGAATCAAATAAGAGTCATATACTAAGATTTAGAAAGTGGAAGAAAGTTAGGACGAGGTGCTACTAAATTTTTCCAAAGTTTGCTGGATTTCTTCGGGGGTTGCTGGAGGTAGTCGACCGTCCCGTGGCTTTCGATTTGGATTTCCAACACGTTTCGCGATGAATCGCAGCACCTGAGAAGTAATTAAGGAATTGTAACCACTACAAGGATAGCAGTGAAAATGGCTACAAATCAACAATGTAGAGCAGTTCTAACCGAATTAAGAAAGCAAAGAACAAACTCTCCACGAAATTCAAGAAACTTCAAGAAGAAAAAAAAGGAAGAGTTGGGAGCGGGAAACATTGATCGTCATTAAAACGTTATTTTCGTCTTTACAAGTTTAACAGACTCAAATTTCCGACAATAAGTTGAAAAAATATAGCCGTAAACATCATCGATGCACGTACGAGCCGTACATGACTCATATAAACCATAGTGTCTTAAGAATAGAAGTCTCTTGAAGTTCCGAAATCCTAATCTCTGATAAAAAAAATATCCTGATTATATCAATACTGTGAAAACTCACATTACAACTACGTAGTGACTCATAAGGGGATATATTAAGGACGAACCTATGCTGCATTTTTGAACACGATGTAAAAAAAACAATATTGTTTTCAACAGATAATTTTTGCTAGGGGTATAATATAATTTTTGACTGGTCACTCCAAGATCTAACAATCCGGATCCATTATGAATGGCGAATATAATCTCATGACTCACATGGGGAAGATAAAGGCATATGAATGTGTCGTTTTCTTGTTCAGCAATCGCGAGGTTTTTAAACAGCATACATTTACTTCCATAGAAAAACACAATCCGATACAACGCTAGCTGACGTTTCGGCAGTATCGCCTTCTTCAGAGCCTGGAAGGGTATGCTGATATACAATCTACTAGGCCAAACTCTTCAGTGACACAAAAAGACGAAAAACTCTGGTAATTACGCTATCAACAACTTCTCGAAAAACCCACCGCTTTTTCGTGACTTCCAATGAGGAAGTTTAGAACAGCTGATTATAGTCGCATGTGGTTGACGACTGCACCATCCCACATCAAAAATCGATGCGAACGTACGGGATCAGGTCGCGTATGACCTCCGGGCATTCGTCCCTGCTATTCATTATAGGGTTTTTGGCATTTATCCAAAAAGCCTCTAGGAGTTTTCGCGCTGGTGTTTTGGACTCCTGTGCAAGGATATTGACTTTTACTTCAAAATCGTCTCCGCTATGCTTTTGTATCCTATGCGTGCCTAGTGGGGTGCTTCGTCTTAGTTTTCGTTTGCCATCTAGGTGTTCTTTTACACGCATACACAAAGGTCTGCCTGTTTCGCCAATATATTCATCTCCGCAATTATTACAAAAGATCAGGTATATCGTACCTGAACTCATGCAATCACCGTCCCTGCCGTAAGGGCATAGTACCTTACAACGGAAATTCGAAAATCTTTTGGGGAATTCACACGTCTCGGCTTCAAGAAACAACCGCAAACGAATTCCTTACGTTTCTGATAATAGTCAAAATGGGGTTGATAATGCACCAAGAAAATCTAAGGTCACCGTGATTGGGAGCATAACAATACCTGAGAATGCGCGCTCGCTATTAGAATTGGGCCCAAGTTTTGCACCATCACAGCCCATTTCTAAAACGACCCTGCGTAGGATAGCATGCAACCTTTATGAGCTTCAAGATCGACTCCGCTATCAGGCCAAGCAAGAAACATCAGATAGAGATAAAAATCAAGAGGCGGCGGCACTACCACCATCTCCTAAAACGTTTTTTAGCCAGCAGGACCCTAACGATGGAGTAGACATAAAATTCCGCGCGTTTTCGGACGGCGTTCTCAAGACCCTTGATCACTACCGCGATAGAAAGTTTATCTCTAACCTTACAGCCACACAAAAATGTGGCATGCGGGGAATTAGAGAATTAATAAACTCGAAAACAATAAGATTGTCTGTTAGTGATAAGGGAGGAGATTTCGTAGTTATCCCTCGCCAGCTGGATGTTGAGATAACAGAGGAACATCTTAGTGATGCTACCCTCTATCGCCCATCCTCTGAAAAGGAATATAAAAGTCAATACCGAAAGCTAAACAATCAATGGGTCAGTGTGGCAAAGGCTGCGGGTTTAAAATCATCGGTTATTTCGCACTTTAAAATCGATAGACCAACATGTCCCGTCCTATACCTACTTATTAAAACACATACGTTGGTATCACCTGATGATCATGCGTCAACCAATCCGTCATCATTTAAGGTTAGACCGATCATCAGCTGTGTAGACGGGCCAACGGATAGAATAACCTGGTTTTTAAGCCTGATACTCACCCAGTTGCTTAACCACATTCCAGCCCACCTCACAAACACCCAAATGTTCCTGGAACGTCTACGTAACGCGTCTCCCNGTGGCAAAGGCTGCGGGTTTAAAATCATCGGTTATTTCGCACTTTAAAATCGATAGACCAACATGTCCCGTCCTATACCTACTTATTAAAACACATACGTTGGTATCACCTGATGATCATGCGTCAACCAATCCGTCATCATTTAAGGCTAGACCGATTATCAGCTGTGTAGACGGGCCAACGGATAGAGTAACCTGGTTTTTAAGCCTGATACTTACCCAGTTGCTTAACCACATTCCAGCTCACCTCACAAACACCCAAATGTTCCTAGAACGTCTACGTAACGCGTCTCCTAGTAACGCCTACGTGATGGAGTCTTTCGACGTTACCGCACTGTACACCAACGTGTCGAATGACTCCGCAATGCAAGCCATCTTCGAACTTCTTGTTGAACATGAAGGAAGAATAAATATGCATGGCTTGTCCATCCAGCGGCTAATGGCTCTCTTAAAGGAGTGCCTAAACTGCTCGATCTTCAGATGGTCTGGGAAATATTTCGCGCAAGTAAGGGGGTTGGCAGTGGGACAGCGATTGGCACCAAGCCTGGCCATTGTGTTTATGTCTAAGATAGAAGCCCCTATTCTCGATCTCCAGCCACTACTCTACTGCAGATATGTAGATGATTATTTTGTCGTCTTCTCTACGCAGAAGGAGATGGACAAATATTTCGAATTATTGAACGAGCAGTCCGAGTACATAAAGTTCACCCGGGAGTAACCGAGAAAAAACTGGCTTTCGTTTTTGGACGTTCAAATAAACCTATCAAGTAGCGGTTAGCTAACAAAGTGGAATCGAAAGCCATGTAACAAATACATTCCTGTTCATTTCCTTTCTTCCCACCCTTCACACACAAAGAGGGCGATTGTGAGAAACATGTTTCGAACAGCCACCTCTGTGTGCACAACCAGGGAACTAAAGGAAAAATCGCGTGACTTGGCTCGGCAAATAGCCATCTCCAATGGCTATGAAACAGTAAACCGACGAGATAAGTTTACAAGGAGAACGACGCGCCCACGCGAAACACTTGGCCAAAAGAAAGTCCCGTTTATGCTGCCTTTCACAAGCGATGAAGTAAGCGTAGCTATAAAACGATGCTTAAGAAGAGCAAGTCTAGAGGAATCGTCAGCGATAGTTGAAATACCACCGGCTACTCTACGTCGCCAATTAGTTCGCAACCGCCTGTATGACCGTCTGTGTGAAACAACAAATTGCATAATTTGCCCTTACGCCACGGACGGTGATTGCATGAGTTCAGGTACGATATACCTGATCTCTTGTAATAATTGCGGCGTTGAATATATTGGCGAAACGGGCAAACCTTTGTGTATGCGTGTAAAAGAACACCTGGATGGCAAACGAAAACTAAGACGAAGCACCCCACTAGGCACGCATAGGATACAAAAGCATAGCGGAGACGATTTTGAAGTAAAAGTCAATATCCTTGCACAGGAGTCCAAAACACCAGCGCGAAAACTCCTTGAGGCTTTTTGGATAAATGCCAAAAACCCTACAATGAATAGCAGGGACGAATGCCCGGAGGTCATACGCGACCTGATCCCGTACGTTCGCATCGATTTTTGATGTAGGATGGTGCAGTCGTCAACCACATGCGACTATAATCAGCTGTTCTAAACTTCCTCATTGGAAGTCACGAAAAAGCGGTGGGTTTTTCGAGAAGTTGTTGATCGTGTAGTTACCAAAGAGTCTTTCGTCTTTGTGTAAGTGTTATTGAAGCGTTTGGCCTAGTAGATTGTATATCAGCATATCCTTCCAGGCTCTGAAGAAGGCGATACTGCCGAAACGTCAGCTAGCGTTGTATCGGATTGTGTTTTTCTATGGAAGTAAATGTATGCTGTTTAAAAACCTCGCGATTGCTGAACAAGAAAACGACAAATTCATTCCAATGCCGAGGTTAAGAGAAAGTCTATCCTGGGAACTATTAGAAGATAAAGGCATTTCTTAGAATCTAAAAATTAGCCCAGTGAATTAAACAGACTTCATAAATAATAGCTGTAAGACATACTTGTTTACGACTGAGATCGCATTTTATTTCAATATCTCGCAGCTCATCTTCCGTAGGATAATGTCCTTCTTTTATAATATCCTTTATATATTCTCGTTGCCAGCCTTTCATTCGTGTCTGGAAACCTTCCTAAAGCAAGCATGAAGGAAATGGGGATCCGCTTTTCTAACTTGGGCCCAACATTTCCGAGGGATAATAGTATATAACAACTTACTAGCTGTTTATAAGGCGGAATCCGTGAGTGATTCGAGACGAATTGACGAGCCTTTAAATCATTAGGTGAGGCCCAATCTGATCCAAGAACAGGCACTTTATGCTGCAATTGTCCCAATGAGTTCATACTTCACGAATCGAATTAGGTGTGATAAAGATGTACCATAATTTTCCTTTCGCTATCACCTAACCTATTAAATTGATGTTAAAGATTCTCACCGTAGCAAATAATCCACTAACGAGATCAATTGGCGCCGATCCTTGTGGGAACGTGCCAAGACTTAATTCTACACCATCCTGAAAAACAAGTATTTCACCAATCCATCATACTTTTTTTTTGTAATACTCATATAAACTTCAGTTTTTAAACCCACACACGCACCACATACACATACACACACACATACTAACACATCACACACACGAACCACAGACACACACACACACACACACCACACACCACACACACACCACACACACACACCGCACACACACACCACACACACACACCACATACACATACACACCCACATACTAACACACCACACACGCACCACACACACACACACACGAAAACACTAATAATATTGGAGTATTCCATGGAAACATGTCATCACTTCCCAGTGGAAAATTCTCTATGACATTTAATATTCCTCCTGGACTTATATGTATGATTACAGCAACCTGTTAACCTGTTGTCATAGACATTTATTAAGATATGAGCACAATTAGCAACTCTATGTATCATATATTACTCATATGGTGCAAAAATAATGTTTTAATTTCAAACAAAAACATTTAAACTCATAACGAATTGTATTATTTTAAATAAAAACCGTTAAAATCTATAGTCTCTTGCTTATGAAATGCAAGCACTCCTAGTCTATTGGGATGGAATTCTGATTTTGTAGAACCCAAGACACACGTCTTTTCAAGCCTTCCCATTGGCGCTCGTATTTCAAATACGCGCGAGCTAAAGCAGAGGGATTTCGCCAAGCAGAGGACGATGTTGTTTTCCACCATACTCCTGGTGTTTGCAAATATTGCGCTTACGTTTGAAATTTTAAAAACCAGATTTCATTCCTATTTTTTGAAATCAGAGTTTTAAACAAATTAGGAACTGAAAAAAAATTTGTAAAAAAGTATATTACCTTTCAAGAGACACATTGAAGTATATTCCATAAGACTACGATAGTATGAACTCTTCAACTATCCTAACGAATAAGCAATTATCAGTAGTTATAGGAAAACCGGTACGGTCACCAATGTACTAGTATAACAATGTTAGTCACTGTTTTCTTCACAAACATACACGAGGTTCTTATTATACCATTTATTTATCCATAAAAGGTTATTGGGCGAATTTTGCCTTATTCATAGTTTAGAGAGCTTGTGAGAAACATTTTTCTTCCAGGCACAAATGTGCGCAGAAAGACAGCAGAAGGAGTCTCTGAAACTGCTATATCGAATGACCATGAAACGGCAGGAACAATAGGAGAAGAAGCTGCTTTGTTTCTAATGAGATTGAAAACTAAGCACCGTGATTTTCCTGTTGAGGCTATGAAGACGTTTGGCCAACTAGATTGCAGTCATCCTGACCTTTACTGGCTCTGAAGAAGATGAAATCCGCCGAAATACCAGCTTTTGCGATAAGTTAGGAGTGTATAGTAACAGCCTCGTGTGTGCTTGTGAAGAAAACAGCGAATTACTGATCAATTTCGAGGTTCACAGAAAGGCAGTCTTTGGAATAAGAAATCTGATTCTAGAATTCTAGCTTTGAAATATTTGTAAACGAATTACTATTTAGTCAAACTATCCTACAACCATGAAAACCCGGCATGGAAAACCGAAGTCTTGAAAGCCAACAGCTTTTTTTTCTCAATAAAGTACTTCCTGCATTTTAGAATTTTGTAGAAGATTTTCTTATGCATTCGCTGAGAATTTCCACCGAGTTCTAATGGAATTATCGATGAACTCATTTGAATTCTGTAAAGAAAAGTGTGGATAGAAAAGCGAAGAAGGTTATGAAGAAAAACCGCTTCAATCACACAAACCTCGCCCTCGTCTTCGATATTGGGGTCTTCTCTCTCGACTTTTGCTATGCTCATCAAACTGAACGCGTTGTTGTTCGACAGGCGTTTTGCCGTGTTGCCATTCGTGAATTCATCAGCGGGCGAGATGGGCGTTGCCGAGACCGAGCAGTGGTCTTCAGAGTCCGCAACCTGAAGTCGAGTGAAAATTAATCACAGACTTCGGCTACGGCCTTATTACCTGTACATATTGCATTTTTAGTGGATCAAAAAATGCTCTGTCTGATACGATTATTTACATCATAGATATTTCTGTTCCACTCTAATATTCTTATGGTTGAAGCTGCTTTATCCTAATAACATCTATACTAGGAAAGAAGCCTAACTCAGAACGGAATAGCTTTGAAAACACCATAACCCACGTTCTTCCCTACTTATTCCCCTTATTTCATTATTCCCACTATACCTGCTGAGAATGCGTAGTGGACAATTACTATGAAAAGTATAACGGAACAGATGTAAAACATGGATGAGATTAGAACTGACAAGCTTTTGGAAAAGTCTTTTTTTGAACGCATGAGATCAACTAGCCAAAACTAACACTGTCCACAACACAGTGTAGAAAGCGCGGTGACCAGAAGTGCTGCAAACCACATGGTACTGCTTGATCACATAAAAAATCAGAAAAAAGTTGTAACACACTTTAGAAAAGTCTGCTCTAAAAACTGAACCGAGATATATGGGCCCCGTGTCAGAGAAGCAGTAACTCCATGCAATTTATAGCTATAGCCTACATTTCCTTCATAAAGTGAATGAATTCTATAATCTGGCATAGATATGCTCAAAATTATTTGAAAATCGGACGTCCTACACAATCGTTTGTTCAATATATGCAAAAGCATAGTTCATATAGGAGGACTTGCCCGGTCATCGTTTTTCAAGCTGGTCGAAGCGCCAACATCGTCGTTGGGATCCGGCCTGGCGATAGCCTGATTGAGGTTGCTAACGAACGAAACATCCGAATAACCATTCGACGCCTGAAGTTGGGTAATCATATTTTAAAAAATACTCGCCATTTAGACTTAAAATTCATGAGTAATCTTCACAAAAACTGTGTAGAAAAACAAAATTTGACAACCTATGGGCAATTGAAGTCCTCAGCCGACAAAAACCGGGAGCAAATTTGTGATGCTAGCGCAGATGAACAAGAAGACTTCAACATTTGTTAACATAAAATTCCCAATGGTTTACTGCCTCGATATGGCTAAAAGATGTTCACGAGTATCGAAACAAAATGTGCACTAGAGTAGAATGTTCCTTCCCCGGTAGAGTCATCCAAGACGAAAGGGAGCAGCCGATATCTCCAGCCTGAAGCTCAACTAAGTGTAAACTTGTGTTACAGCTCTGTGAAGCCAGCTACGCATGGATGATACCTTATCGCTACGCCTCTCACAAAGCGGACGTGCTAGCTAATAGCGACCGCTGCAGGGTGGATTATCTGTTGGAAAACAAATTATTATCAGCGGATAGTCATATCAAAAAAAACAACCACCCTGTATAAAACAGCACTGCCGGGTGAGCATGCCTCATTCGAGGGATGCTCCATTGAAGAAAATCCGACACGATATGAAGACGAAGACGCCACATCGAGAAGACGAACAACTGTGGATCGTCGATACGGATCGTCAGCTCTGATGAAGACAAAGATGTCGAAACGTTAGCGGAATAAAACTGTTATCAAACTCGTGTAAGCTCAATAATTTGAAGATGTGTTGAATATTTTACTACCGTGCTTCAATGGCGGTTGGTTTTAACATTCTCATAAAAGGTTTGATGCTCCTCATACCCCTTCAACAAGCAAGGACCACTGAATGGTGGCTCTGATGCGACATAACGAATGCGCGCTCGAGCTAGTTGATGATATGATTAGCGAGAACACATATGGTATACATATATGATCAAGATAAAGGAGATATCCACTATATGACAAGTAAATGACTTAGTGATGGTGTAGGGAAGTACAGAGAAACCACCTATCAAAATGTTTTTTTCACACAGTACGTAATGGATTGGCTTAGCTTGTTGCTGAAGAACTAATAAGGAAGGGCTGAAAACATTCAGCACGAAAGAACCAAAAATTCAGCTCCGGAATTCATTGGATAACTATAAAATCACCCATATCCATCTATTAGTCCGTACTAACTTCTTCCTCGTAACTAATCTTGTCGCATGAACCGACCAGCTCTTATGGGATAGATTCGTGATTTGTCTCAAACAAAACGTTAGATATGGCCTTCGGACCCGTCTAATAGATCACACATAGAGATGTACTCATAGATTTGATAGCGAAAAAATTTCATAGCAACATTTTGCACTCGTGCAAAAAAACCTTGACTTGCGAGACAATAATGCCGACCAACATTACAATAGTGTACCTTAACAGAGTAACATTACTGTTAACGTGAAGATAGAATGATGGAAAGGGATAAAGGGACATAGAAAGAGGACGGACAGAGAGGAAGCGAAAGAGAGAAACAGATACTTAGTCAATTTATACCACAGCGCGTGGGAAACCTCAGATTTGATTGTGAACTTCAGTCTCAGGAACAAAACAAGCGCGCCCTTATCTTCGTCTGTTTGAACGTCACTTTCAGTATTCTCAGAGACAATCGTAATAATAGGAAACAGTTTAATGCAGTTCTGGGTAAATAAACCGCAAAAATTAATGCGATATTGAAATCCCCTAAGGAGAAGCATCAGCAACATCAACAGCTGGAAGCAAACGCGTATTTCAAACAGAGCGAGCTATAGCGATGGAGCAATGACTACAAGGTTCTCATCTCGTTAATTCCTCTACTTATGGGAAAATTTTCAGCGGTTAGCAAAAAGATCAGCATAGGGTTACGAGTTTTGGGTCTCATTACTATCGGAAGATCCGACTGCACGGTGAATCTAGTTTCACAGCGCATTTGAGTTCAGACTTCTCTTCTCCGAATTCTAGCAGTTTTACTTGGATTCAATGCCGATTTAGGTTTCCGAGATCAATCCCGCTCACGGGTGATTGCTAACGGCAAAATATCGATAGAACTAGCTGAGAGAGAGGCGAAACAAAGGGCCTACATGGTGTGGTGGTGAGCGCGTTACTCCCCGGAAAGGACAATAGCGCGTTCGTTCCTCACTGCAGACCCTGCGGTCCGGAGTTTTGCAAATATCTCAGCATCATTGACGGTATATTCCGCAACGTACCCTGTTAGGGTGACCTGCACGATATCGGCAACTATCGCCCAATCTGCTTACTGTCTGACGTCTACAAACTTTTCACTCGAGTCATCCTAAACAGGATTGGCAGAGCACTAGACGATTTCGAAGAGGATTTAGTACGATGGACCACATCCACACGGTAACACGGTTCATTGAAGTATCGCGAGAGTACAAAAGACCGCTCTATCTCACTTTCATCGATTTACAGAAGGTCTTTGATTCAGTTGAGATGGAAGCAGTCTGGGAAGTCCTTGATAGTCAAGCAGTTCCTATTCAGTACATAAAGATTCTTCGTGAACTGTACAAAAATTTCACAACCAAGGTATCACCATTCTACAACGATATTAACATTGACGTCAAAAGAGGAGTTAGGCAAGACGATACCATCTCGCCAAAATTATTTACCGCCGCCCTCCAGAACGTCATGCAAACATTGGAATGGGATAATATGGGAGTGAAAATCGACGGTCGACAGTTACACCATCTTCGTTTTGCTGATGACATCGTCCTTATAACACCAAACATTAGCCAAGCGGAAGGTATGCTTGACGACTTTTACAAAGCCTGTGGAAAGAATGCTCTTCGACTAAATCTCACTAAAACGTTGTTTATGGGGAACGGATTGGTTTCTTATGCTGCATTCACGCTCAACGGAACCAATATCTCCGAATGCTCCAGTTATATCTATCTAGGTCGGGAAATCAATATGATGAACGACCTAGCTCCAGAGCTGAGCAGAAGAAAACGAGCGGCTTGGGGAGCTTTTATCAAGAACATCGAGGATGTAGTGACGAGAACAAAGAACACCCGACTCCGTGCCCACCTTTTCTATGACTATGAGCTTGAAACAACAATTAAATCACGCTAGAGCTAAAGATCTACAAGGCTAACATTACAATAAGTGGTGGAAACCTCGCTGTATTAAATGCTAAATGTTCTGAAAGAAATAGTGAAATGTGCAGCGACTAAGCGAAGTCATCTACAATCCAGAGGCGCAGACGGGTCAGGGCTACTCGGTAGAGCTTCTTCTTTATCACCTTACAACGAACATGTACAGATAGGTTAAATTGTAACTCATGAATTAAGACCGGAGCAAACCAATTAAATTGGAAGGAACGCTTCTAAATTAAGTTCGAACAAGTCTTGCACAGTAGACATGTGCCACCTTCACAAGAAAGAGAAACCGTTAACACAAAGACTCGTCAAAAGTTGGTAATGGGAATTAAGGAGTCAACGAAAAAACCAAGCGGTTTTATCTAACAAGCATAACTCGAAAGAAATCTGATGAGCACATATGAAGCAAAGTTTGGACCATTCCGCGGCGCAGCTGCAAATAAGGAAAGATTTAAAGCAGCTGGTGTAGGACAACACCATAGTTACGCAGGAATGTCACATTTCACGGAATCTAGTTTTTACCTTTACCTTCAACGCAACAAGAATAGGAATTCATAAGCGATCATGAGCGAACGGTAAATATGTAGTAATATCAACTGAAGCAACTAAAACGGTATTACTAACTCTCATCCATTCTCGGCCCATTTAGGTGCCTATCTCTCTTTCAGTGATGTTCCGTAACGAATAGAACCTGTAGGTGCTCACGAAAGATATTCCGATAATCGAAGGTTAGAGAAACGCGTCTACGATGCTCAGGGGTCAGGTGAATAAACTATTACTAAATGCTGAGCTGCTGCGGGTCAGCCTGAACAGAACCAACAATTCCGTGACGATTCGTTACGTACGTAAACACGCACTCAATTCTGCAGTAAAAGTAGGGATTGACCACATAATGGCTAACCGATTTCTTTCGAATGAGTTAGGAAACTAACCAAAGAGCTAGGTCAAAGTGAAGGACTTAACCTTGTATTTCAGCTTACAGCAAAATCTTTGGTAACCTCGCTAGCGACGTGAGATCGAGGTCAATTCTAATAACTGCTCCCGCCGAAGTATGACCACCAACGACCACATTTTGGTACAGAACGGTTGAATAGAGTCCCTTGAAAACGATGGCCGTTTAATCATGTCGTGCAGCTGTCGTATGGTATGTCTAGGCCGGAGAAGTCGACTCATGGACGTCGAACAGCAGTAAGGTTCATTGGCCAGCCATAACGATGATTTGTAACGAGCAGACGATGTCGATCGAATGACACCGATCAGGAGTCGTTTGCGATATCCCGAACGCAACGATGTTTCCGACTGAGTATGGGTGATGTTTCCAAGGGTTGACCATCAGAAGAGTTCAGTGATGAGACCTCGATCAAGCACAGCTCGCTCGAACGCATACCATGCTATGTTCTATTTGGAAACAAAACTGTACGTATTACCGTATACAAGGGCGAATCTACACTATTAGGAAATCAAGACGACGTTCACGGCGGTATACCTCACGTTCTCTCGCTCGCTTTGTATCATCGGAACCCAGGTGCAGCTGCTCATGCAGAAATCAAACAAATCAATGCGAACAGATGAGATGAAGAGATTAGCACCAGAACGTACTGGCGACTATTAAAGGGAGAGGTACTGGTTGGTAAGTCGTACCTTCGTCAGATGAGTCAGTACCAAAATGAAAAAGGGTACGAAAAAGGTAAAAAAAATTATGTGGAATGGTGATGTTCATGATGTTCAGTGATGCAGAAAATGGTATATTCAGGTGAGAAAGCTCAATAGAATGTTCACAAATAGAAAGGCATCGAATTCTCAAGGACAAAAATTCTGGATGGGATATACAGGAGGGGTTGCGGTGAGCTCGATCGCGACGTTGATTTATCCCACTGACGTCTACCAGAAACCCGGCGGCAGAATGCTGTCAGATGACGAGTGAGAAGCAGTGGTGGCATCAGTGCTTACCGTATGAAAGTGAGGCTGGGATCATGACGAGTTGTCTTTCTTTTGTATTGATAGAAACAGAAACAAACAGTAACATCTACTTGATAAGATCGCATTCGTTCAAGAATCAGTCCGTTCGCGGCACAGCCTATCGAAACCAGTGAAACCAATGAATACGATGATCAGTCAACAACGCAGAACGCATGGAATGCAAATCGATGGACGATTGCAATCGGAAATCGGTGGCCGGAGCAGCCACAAATACGAATGGATGCAGAAAAAACACTCACGATCAGACCGAAGAAGTCGATCACCGACGATTCTTTGACCCGTACGATCGCATACTTGTACTTGACGTCCATGCCACGAGGCCTGCAACAGAAGCGTGAGAGAAACCGAACCGAGCAACAAGACCACTGTTCGGATTATGGCGAAAGAAGAGGCATTTAAACACCATACGTCCATGGTAACGGCGACATAAGTAAAAGAAGACGCAGACAACACACTGATGACAAGCCTCTCAGCTAACGCCACTAATTACGGCGTCATAGTGATCGCTACCTAGGTGTAGAGATCAGCAATGCAAGCTCGGAGAAGCAACAACCAACGAGATACATTAGCAACAAGGACATCAAGACGCAGCGATCATACAGTGATAGGACTGCTGGGCGTTGATCTGGTCAGCGAGGAATTCATGGAATGATGTCGTGGAAACGCTTGGAAGAATCTGGCACACACACACCACACTGGGCGACGTGCCCGAATCCGAATCAGCCCGGAACACGACAAGCGGACACGGAAACGTCGAGAACAACAAACAGTAAACAAAGTGAGTAGTGCGAGAGCCGGTGCAATAGATCGATGAATCTAGTGTTTTGCTGCCGGCCCGACTCTCAGCGAATGCTCGGTGTCTCTGTCGTCGCGCCATACCAACGTCGCTCTCTCTCGCCACTCACTTTGCCGTAATGTAAACCCCTAACTGCGCTAAGCGAGACTAGGCCCAATCGATTGTTGGCCAGGCGGCCCCGTACTCTTGGCACTAAGCCATCCGCTAAGTCTGCTTGACGCGTCAGCATCGACGGACGACCTCAGTCTGTAGTCAATTGGCCACCACCCCTTACCCTAAGACAGACTCTAATCCTCTGGCGCGACCTGAATTTACGGCCGCTATCGATCCTTTCTTACTCGGCTATCACAACCTTAACGATCTTCGAATGATGACAAGGCCGCTATCGAGCCTTTCTTACTCGGCTATCACAACCTTAACGATCTTCGAATGATGACAAGGCCGTATTTAGTGAAGCGCTGACGGCAGTCTCCACAGCAAGAGCTTATTGAGTTTGAAATGGCCGCGAAGATAATTTACACCTTTGTTTCGCGATAACTTTACAGTTTCTCTTCCACTCAAGCCCTAGGAATGAAAGGAGTCAAAATCTATTCCGACAAACTAAATTCCTCTGCGTAGAATGTAAGAAAGAGAATAGTTACAATTTTCCAGGTAGAGAAAGGCGGTAATGTTCCGAGACCAATGATGGTTTCGCTGAAAATGGGAGGGGTTTCCTAGAACCTCTAGAAATTGAAATTTGCTGAGAGTCAGCAGCGAACTTTGCCCTCATGTTGCACTTTTCTTCGTTAAGAAATATAACAAATTAGGAAAAAATTCCTGCCGATAGCGTAGCCCTGTCTGCTACCTCTGGAGTGGTCGTTTCAGTGCCCAAGTCTTAATATCTCGGTATCGATGTAATTCAGCAATGCTCCATGTACACAGGTGTTCAAATGTCCGACGAACTACAAATTCCTTGCAGCTGAGACGAACTACAGCCGACGAAGAAATCCGTACATGAAGGCGAATGTTCGCACTACGCGAGGGGACCGAGATCCATGTGACAGATGACCGAGAGATAATTCCTTACTAAGTAATTCCTCGAAAAACCCTCCTCTAATTGCCAACACCGAATTTTTAAACATGAACTTTTTATAAGAACTGGACTTATTTTACATGGAAGGCATGAAATTCGCATTAAAACAACAAAAACAACAACAGCAGATATGTTTAAGAAACAAATTCGTTTCGTAGTAATCCTGAATTTCTCCGGAGTTTGGGGAAATTCCTAACTGCATCATCAGAGCAAACTTGCGACTTCACGAATCCCTATGCAATATCACACCGATGCACTCGGCGCAGTCCGCACGGGTCGAGGCGAATTGAGTGCACAGCGGGGCCAGACCACAACGAACTCAACCCTTTCTTTCAGTACTTGGCGAATTCTTTATTTTTAGATACCAGACGGTCCTGGTCATAGAATCACTGTTGAGTCTGCATTTGACCTATGTACTTCCGGTAATAAGTACGAATACGGCATAATTTTCTTATATGAACTCAATAGATTGATTTAATTCTTCCAAATATTTTTTTGACAAAACCACTTGGTTTTTAGTGATGCGTTTCCCATTTTTTTTTACAATCTGCGCTTAACATGAATGTCGGGATCGAGCCTGAGTGCGAGAATCGTGCTGATCCTTACGACGGCGCGGATAGCACAGAAATGCTCACGTTTAGCGGGTGGAAGAGAGTAACGGCCTTGTAGAGTGAAGACGGATCGTTAGGCAGACAAACGAGGATGAGGTTGATAGGCAAACAGATAAAGTCGACGCTGAAGAGATTAGGGACCTCTCATTTCACCGCAAGCACATACACATACGCACTATTGATCACTAACAACTGTTTCTAACAAAAAGCCATGTGTAGTGATAACAATTATCGTTCTCTTTTTCTATAGTGGCATTGGTCATTTGCTAGCAATTCGGCCGTGTGCTGTTGGTGTGTCCAGTAGTTGCTGAGAATCTTTAGAGGCTAGACCTCCCGCCATCCCTCTTTCAAAGTCCATTCGAAGTTTATCGTGGTTAGTTCGGGTACCTTAGCACTTTTTATGCAAAGTTCTTGCGCATTCCGAAGGAATATTTGGGCAAAAACATCATTATGATCCTTATTTTTAAATATTCAAAAATCCTTTTGGCGACTAGCGTTTGAGATTTTAAAAAACGCAGGTTTTGATCGAGCGTTTTAAGGCGCTGCTAGACTACAGCTGGGGGATTCATCTGCCCAGCAGGGTCTCCCAAGGTGAGAAGGAGTCCGACGTTTCTATCAGGAAGCCTAGCTAAGAGTAAACCAATACCAACATGCACCACCGTCCTGGTATCAAAGTCGTATGGTGGTAAATCTCCCTCTTATCCACGGGGGCTGCGACTGTCCGTGGTGGTGAGGACCTGGGGCAGAGTTTGGCCAGGCTGACATCGGGACTCCAGAGAACCATAATGGCTTAACCAGCAAATCTCCAAAAAATGGAGATGCACGCCATTCAAGTATCAAGTATCAAGTAAGAGTGTAGGATCACTCGCTTATAGGATTCGTCATTTATCCAACTGTTTTTAATGCACCTATTTTATAGAGATAACGCAGTAAGATCTATAAGTGACAAAACTATGACGACAAGATCATCACGTGACGGTACGATTAGATCTGTGCGTAATATCCAGCCTATTTCTTAAAAAAAGATACAAGTGAGGGCGATTTTTGATCTGAATCTCACACATGACTGATTCGTTGTCACTTTCTAAATCTATCGCTTTGTTAGGAAGACAATAGAGAAAGGAGTGCAAGGCTTGAGATTAGAATTCTTATCCATGACAAAGTTTGTGATACGAGGCTTGTGTTTGCTCCCTGCATTCTTATGATTGTAGCTGATATTTGTTGCTTCCTGAGCAACACGTCTGATAGAAATAGAATAGAATTTACTAGACTAGAACAATTCAACTAAAATGGGATACAATATTGCCAGCAGTCTTAACCGTTTTATTTACTGCCTACTCTTTTAGATGGCAGGGTATAATGCGAAATATAACTTCAATGGTGCTGAGATATTTGCAAAACTCCGGATCGCATGTGTCTGCGATGGGGAACGAACGCGCTATTGCCCTTTCCGGGGAGTAACGCGTTCACCACCACTAACGCTGACGAGTGATTGCTGATGGTAGAAATCGATAAAACTAGCTAAGAGACAGGCGAAACGAAGGACCCACATGGTGTGGTGTTGAACGCGTTACTCCCCGGAAAGGACAATAGCGCGTTTGTTCCCCACCGCAGACACCTGCGGTCCGGAGTTTTGCAAATATCTCAGCACTATTGAAGTTATATATCGCCAACAGTATTCAAATTAAAGCCTAAGGCAAAGTGCCACCTTAACCGTAAAAGTTGTTCGCAAAGCTTAAGATGTCGGCTGTATAGCGTTCGGCTCACAAATTATTAAACTAGCGTTGGGAATCGCTAATGCGTCAGAAAGAGGTTGGTGGTGCGCATAACCTTACACTTTATAGCACTTGATTTTACTGGCACTGCCCCATCTCATCTGGGTGTTTGAGGTATTCTAGAATTGAATCGGTATTGTGGTCGGAAGTTAGGTGACATATAGTAAGTCCGCTAGCCATGTAACACCGTGGTATAGAGTTTACGTACTTCACATGTTCAACACGATCAGTAGGCGACTAGTCGATGACGACTTACACTATTTTCCAGAATTTTCTCACTGAGTGAGCGGTTTCCCTTCTCCTATTAGAGATTGATAATGATGCCTCGTTAGGCAAAACACTAAGTATATGACGTGGTGGTGCCGGAATTTTAGCAGAGGAACATTTGTTTTACACTGCTGCTTCGCTAAGAACAAATTCTAACATTTTAGGTCCCATTTCGAGAATTCCTTTGTTCTATCAGATTCTATAAAGTAAGTGAGATCGCGTGAAGTGTAAAGGAGAGCAGGCAGCTCCAATGCGATCTATTCACCCTATAATATGGCTGCAAGCATTCCGCATTACAATGATAAGGACTCATTGCAGAGCTAACACCTTGAAATTGATGAAGAAGTTTGTCGAAATGGATCAATGAGGAAAGAACAGATACAGAGTATGGTGTATTACATCTTCTTATCTTTGTGCTGATCGAATGGATCTGAAAGTTCAACATCAAATAATTCGACTTAGCAGCTTGCATGGAGGTAATGATGGACGTAAAAGAGAATTGACGGAGACTGGAGCTAAGGAAATCGACGACTTTACTTTTTTCGGAAATCAGTTGGTAGGTTGGTAGCATAGCTTCCTTTGGACCAGCATATTCTAATTGCCTCCTTGTTGAGGTGATTGAGAATTCGCGCTGTTAGGTACACCAGCTCATGTGTGCATTTTCGATATCTTTTGATAAACAAGCGAATAAGAAAGTAGATACAGTATATAACTTTTATCTACCTCCCATTACTTTGTCACGGCAGCGTATGTGAAATACAAACACAATGTTGCTGAGATATTTATTGATGCGACCTTATAAACTGATCTTCTTAAGCTCCCGCACGTAACATCACGGCTCTGAGGAAGGCTAAGTCGCCGAAACGTCAGCCATCGATCAATAACATCAAAAACAACGACAACGAAG